GAACACGGCACATGGCCGGCACAGCATCACATGACCCCTATTCTGGGGATGTTGTTCAGGGTACGAGTCATTCTAAGACAAGCACTCTGAACCTGAAGCAGAGCGTTYCACGGCCTGGTCACCGAGGGAGTCAGATGTGGAGAGGCCTCAAGCAGCAGCCCGGGGCCGGCCCGGGTGTCCCCCCAGTGTTCGGCAGCAGGGGCCGGGGGTGACCGTGCCACAGCTCCTCCCGAGGAGCAGCGGATGCTCCGCCGGGCCCGGCTATCCCCTCCCCGCGCCCCGGGCAGTGCCTGCGCCCCAAACGCTCCGTGAGGGCCGCCCCGGCGCCAGCGCGATCGTCCCGGGCGGGCTCCGCCACACCCCGCCCGCCGCTCCGCGGGTTCCCCTGCCCGGGCCGCCGCAGCGGGATGGCGCCGGGGCTGCTGGACCTGGTGCACTTGACAACCTGGGCCGTGTGTGCCGTGATCAAGCTGCCGCAGGTGGTGGCGGTGCTGAAGGCCGGCTCGGCGTGGGGACTCAGCGTGACCAGCCTCCTCCTGGAGCTGGCCGGGTAAGGCGGCGGGGGCACACGGGGACTGTGGCGGGAGCAGCCGCTGGGGCCGCGGGTCCCCTCGGCCGCGGGTGCGGGGCCCGGAGCTGCTGCGGCAGCCGGGGATTGAGTCTATCCTCTGCGGGCTTGGGGGCGGCGAGCAGCCCCCGTTCCCTCGGTGCTCCATCGCCCCGTTCGCAGCTCGGCACCAGCCCCGCCAGCTGAGCCCACAGAGCCTTTCAGGAGCCAACTTCCTGTTTTAGTGATTCGGCGCTGTCATTTAAAGGGAAACTCAGCTTTTTTAACTTGCCCAAAGGCATCCCGGGCCACCCTTGACGCTGGATGCAGCAGCTGCAGAGGGTGTAAGGCGTGTGTTTGGGTTATTCAGTAGTCCCGTGTGCCCTGTGGTGCAGGTAGTTGTACTCGTCAGACAGGCTTCCCTCACCTCAATCGGTAAGACTTAAATAATTCCTTAAGAAAATTAGAAGCCGTGTTAAACTCCAAAGGCTTGTGAGCCTATAATAAGCTTACATGGGCTAGGCTTATTAAGTCTTGCTTAAAGAAGATTATAGGAAATGACAAATAAATAAACTCGGTGTGTGCACGTTCAGGTATGGGTACGAGTGGGATAAAATACCTCGAAATACCTCCGTTGGCCGAACCGAAGGATGGAGTTGGGCAGAACATCCAGCCGGATGGCTGCTAGCTCCCTGCCGGACCTAGAAAAGGGGGTTTTGGTCAGAAAAATCGCCTCACAGAAACGGCGTGATTGTTCTGAACGTGCCTGTGCCGTGTCTGCAGGCAGGGCCACAGCTCGGGTGCACAGACACCTCTCCAGTGGACCTGTGCAAAATCCCCTCAGCCTCCGCTGTGGCCGCTCCCCGCCCGCCTCTCTCCACAGCACTCATCCTGCTGTTGCTGTTTACCTTTAACACGCCCCAGAGTAAATAAAGTAGATTTGTGTTCCAGCAGATATTACTGACCCCACAGCCCCAGCCAAAAAGCAGTGGCAGCACTATAAAATCATTCATGTGCGTTGGTGAAGCTGCAGTGTCTCCTCAGCACCTGTGTGAGAACCACGGTACCCACATGACTGCAGGTTCTGGCCTTCTTTGAAACATTTATTGCTACTGTCTGTATATTTAGTAGACTATTTATCCTTCTACCTTTAAAGACTTTGAAGCCAGTTGTAGGGATTCAGCACAAGCTGGTATGGTTCYGTGGAATCAATATAGAGTGATCAGGCAGAAGAGTGACACGGAAACATGGTGCTGATGGCCAGGAGTCTAATTTGACTCTGTATCAAATAGCGCTCCTAGGAAGTTCAGATATTTAAATTCTGAATACTGTAAAATCTGGGTTCTTATGAGGTAGGCTGTTCCTTGTGCCATTTCTCTACATTAGAAACCAAAATTTTTTTCTTATGTTAAACTGCCCTAAAAGTCTTTTCTGTTTTCTATACAGCTTTGAATTTTCTGTCTAACCCCACGGACTTGCAGGAGAGTTGGAAGTACAGAAAAYATTATGCAAGTTCAGTTCCTTTTAGATACACTGTTGTGGAATGACAGTAAGGAAAATTGGCATTGTTTGGTGCACTTAAAAACAGACTCAGTTTGACCAGTAGAGCTACAGTGGACAATCTCGTAACTTGGAAGACATTTTCTACCCCTGTAGAACTTGCTTAAACTATAAATTGGACTACAACTACAGACATAAATAAACAAGTCAGAGTTATCCTAAAGGTGCCAAAGCTCTTGCAAAGAGAAGGTATSTCCTAAATCTTGACACCTTTATTTCTTTCTCATCATTTATAATTAATAAAATTGTGCCTTACACACTATGACATAAAGACCTTGATGAGAAGCGTGGGCAGCTCTTTTCATCTAATTCTATTTGAGGGTAACAGAAATAGATTACAGAATGATCAGGCTTGCACTTTGTGCCCATGTTTATTTGATCCATTTGACAACAGGGGTTGCACTTACCTGAAGCCTTTTGGTACCACAAAAACAGTATAAAAGTTGTGAAGGCATTTTTTGTGTCCCTCTGTGCAGTCATATTGTTTTSTATCTCTCTATTCAGCTTCCTTGTGTTTCTGAGGTACCAGATCTATTATAATTACCCTCTGGAGACATACCTGGAATATCCCATCATCATTGCACAAGGTAATTTTGTGAGCCATGTTTTGGAAATGAAGTGGGGATCATTCAGCACTCCAAGACTCTGCATATAGGTGCAGTGTTCCACTGCAGTGATGCTGGAGTTGGGAGGAAGACAGAATGGAAATCTCACATAAAACTGAATTCTTATAAATGTCATTAAACAAGATGCTCAGGTAGAGGAGAAAGACCTAATTATTACACCTAATATACACCTAGAAAGACCTAATTGTTAGTTGCAGTGTAAACTCATACTTTATCCACTGCCTCCACATGGGAGAGAAACATATTAAACACTCCAGATTCTAAGAAAAACTTAGTTTAGGAGCTGACAGTGTTTTTGTCATAAATCACATTTGAGAGACAAAAGCTGTAAGAAAGGAGTTTCCACAGACCTCATGCCCAGTGGAGCTGTCTAGGATTGTGTTTGGGCCCCTTTGGTCCCTTCTGTGACGAGCTGTCTTTCCTTTATTGCAGATGCCATTCTCCTTTTCTGTATTATGCATTTCAATGGAAAAATGAAACGWGCTTTGTTCTATGCACTCGTGTATCCTTTGAAAACCATGAGGTTTGTTTTATGTGGCTTGTTTGCAATATCATAATTTGTTGTGTGCTATTATTGTACATAATTTTTAGCCAGCCCTCAACGTGTATTCTACACTCACATGCTGATTTCTGGGATCACAGTAAAATCTCTACAGGAAGTAAGCGTTATATATTGCTCTGCTTTAGAAGGCTCCCAGCTGATAAAGAGTAAACTCAATTCTTAATTTACATCATTTCTACAGGGATGCAAAATAGAAATGACAAATCTTTTTTTTTTTATTTGATTCCTAGCCATGCAGGTTGTACTTACTACAACACAGTGGTGTTGGTTTTTGTTTTTTTTTTGAAAATAGGACTTGGTTTTAAATCTCAAGTCTTGTGCTTTGGAGCAGGTTTTGAGAAACTCCAGACACTGTTTGACCAAAGACAGTGTGAAAAATAGGAACACTTAGTGTTTCAACCAGTGCTTAATATGTTTTATCTGGATTGTGTAGTCTCTTTAAACATTTCAATAAGATTATTTCCAGATGTTTAAAAATAAATCTGATTCCTCAGGCAGTTTTGAGAACTTTGTATCCTATAATTTGCAGTGCTATGAAACTTAATGTAATGTAAGATTTTGTGGGAGCTGGTACATGCTAACACTGCAGAAGTGGATAATAGACCTGGCCATGGTAAGTGCTGGATGATTATTTGAAATTAGATCTTCATATGAAATTCTTTTTTTTTCTTTCTGGAAGCCTTTATTAGAGGACTCTCCTATATATATGTCCTTGGAAGAATTCGTCATTTAGGTTAGCTTTCAGAACAACCAACCAGTTTTTAGATACAGTTGGTTCTTTCTTCTGTGAATAGCTGGAAAACACTGGCAGTAGAGACTCTGTGGAGGGGAAAAAAGGTATGTTCTGAGGWAAGTTGTTACTTGGTTGTGCCTTAWYTRATACTACCAAATAYTTAAAATKTTTAAATTCAATTGCTRCTTTAGTCCTAATGTCATAATCCCAACCAAYAGACTTTAACACAAGAGGAAGAGAACAGTGTTAAAATGTTTGAAACAGGGATTGTGAAGTACTTTTTTTTTTACTCYTTAGWCCTACAATTTATTGAGAAAAATATMATCTGATAATGCCTACACAGGTTTAAAGATGATCTTCTCTTAGCAGAAGAGGGAAAGTAAAAATGTAATTGAGACGAACTGGATCTGCTAATGCAAAAGATGATACAAAGCTCAGTGCTTCCAAGCTCAGTGCTGATCCTTACTTTCAGCAGAAATCCAGGCAYGGCACAARGGCCTGTGTGGAGTCCTCTCTACGAGCTGCCTTTACAAAATCCCCTTTAAAAAGTGACAGAGTGAATAGTGCATTCCTGTTACTATTTTTTCACTCAAATTGGACTAATTTTCCACACATTCTTGTCAGTTTTTTCATTCCTTTATGGTTTGGTTTGCCAGACATAATGGTAACAGATGGTCTGAATCAACCTTGCTGTTTAGACTAGGTCAGTCTCGTTTTAGCTAACTTTCATAAACAGTTTTATGGAGCAGGTTGAGAAGCTTTTTTTTGTTTCTTTGCTTCTTATTGTATTTGCCTCTATCAAGCATTTCCCAAGAACAGTAGTAGTTGTGCTCTTTGAGATTCTTGCTGGGCAGTACSTCAGAAATGAGCCCCTTGTTTCTGGCAACTTCCAGTTTTTGCTTCACTCTTCCTTAGTAAGAAGCCAAAGCACTTGGGTGGCCCAGTACTGGAAGAGTGTATTTTTTTTTATTCTAAATTAAAAGGCTAGTCCTGTTCAAATAATACAATTGCAAAGGCAGAGATTCTTTCCTGTTTTTTACCTGCTTTTCAGAATCTCTGCACATTCATCAGTGGAGCCAGTAAGCTGGTTCAGCTGCATCATCTCTGGCAGACCAAAGATGCCGGACAAACAAGCGCCCTGACCTGGGGCCTGTCTGCATACACCTGTGCAGGTAAACTATAAACAACTTGGTGTGAAGTACCAAGCTCTCCTAATGCCTCTTTTCATAGGTCTTTACTCAATCATTGTAGGTAAAGATCTTGCCTTAGTTTCCCTTAGTGCTGACTCCTGACACTCAAATACCACACAGTTTCTTGAAAGTAAGTTTTATCTTTGACACCARTGATAAAAACCAATGACTTGAAGTGTAAATGTGGCCAAGGTAACCTGAGTTGAAATAACTGAAAGGCTTTATTTATGAGGATAAGATTTCCATGTTATAGGATTTTATACAGTTACTGGTGATCCATCATGAAAAGGTGAAAAAATTTCAGGCATACAATCAGACAATGCTAATTTTGAAGTTACCTACAAATAAATACATACTTAAAGCTAAAACCTTTATGGCTACTTGTAATTACRTGTCTCATTAGAGAATTTATGAACAGTGATTTGCGGAGTTCCTGTGGCAATGCCCCAGTGGTCTGCATGAACAGTTCTACAGCTATTTGTCAGAAGTGCCTTTGTCATCTTCACAAAACTTGTTTAAAATATTCTCATTATAAAACACAGTAATGGTGGATCTATTTCTACATGAAAGYCAATAATTAAAAGCTGTGGTATATTTGCTGAAAAGTGGCAGTAAACTGTGTAAGTGCTTTTAGTCTGCTGCAAGTGTGAAATAATTAATATTTAGGTTCATTGTAGGAAGGGAAGCTGAATTCTTGTATTTGCAAAGCCTGAAGGCATACGTGGACATTCACAATRGTTAAGTCAAGCTGACTCAACTGTGGGTGTAGGTTACTGTCAACTACTGAAGGAGGGGCTGAACAGAAAAAAAAGCAGTAAATTGACCACATCCAATCTAGCATGGTAGATATAAAAGTCCTAATTATATCTCTGATTTTCTTATCAAAAAAGACCCCTAATACATTGTCTGTCAGCTTGGCAAGCTTGATTTCTGAAACGAAAATAGTGGAGAGTGGMTGCATTAAAAGCGGGAATGTGTACAGTGTATAGTTGATGCAAGATTATCCTGTTGAAAAATGGATATTTCATACTTTTTTAAAGTATAAATGTGTCTGATGTGTTCCACTAATCAGAATTCATTCAATTTACAGCAAGAATTATTACAACTGTAATGACTACGAATGATGTTGCAGGTGAGTAAAATATGGCATGCCCTGCCTTTTTAAGGGAACAGCTGCCACAGTAGTTTACAATTGTTCTGTAAAACAGCTGGAAGGTCTCAGAAGAACAAACCATGAACGTGGTAGGTTAGCATGGTGAGAAAAGTTGCTGCCAAAAAAGTAGCACAGGATTACAAAGCAGGCAAATTCATCAAGAAAAAAGAAAAAAACAACCAACCAAAAAACTGCTTGTGCTTGTCATGTAGTGCAATTGGTCCAAAAGACTTTTTTTTTCCAAAAGGAAAAAGCACTACAAAATTAATTCTGAAAATAGCAGAACAAAGCATTAAAAATATTTGGTGTTTTACTAAAATAATAAATTCRGTAAAATAGAGCTTTAAAAGTCTATAGTAATTGAATGAGATTTTCAAATAAGAAGTTTTCCCCTTTCTTATTGATGGTTTTGTGAATTAAAAAATTCTAGAAAACTGAAGTTCATCTTAGCATGTGAGTAGTTTTAGATACAACATTCAGAAAGTTTATGTCAGGCTGAAAATGAATAGCAGGCTGGTAAGAAACTCAAAAAACATGACTTAAAATATATAATTTGCAGCCAGTTTTGTTATAAAGCAAATKTATTTAACAGCTTCTTACTATCCTGAGAAAACTTAAAGAGCTAAGGAGTTTAGCAGATTTTTCAATAAATGGTTCAAAATCAAGACTTGGTGGAACAGCACCAAAATCCCTTTGTTCTTCATCTGCTAGTTCTTTGTTTTCATTCAAAACTGCTATTTCATCAGAACCATYATCTGAATGGATTTTATGCTTTTTAAGCAGCCCTCTGCAGCACAGTGAAGCTGTAGCTTTACAAGCATTCCAAGTGTCTTTCATTGGAAAAGGAAGTCCCATTTCAGGCCCACATTTCCACCCCCATGCTTGCTGCTTTTTCTTTGCTAAAGTTAGGAGTTTGTGGGGCCATGCAGTTATCTGTCACCAAAAATTTGGAATAATGCACTGAGGGGGAGGGAGGAAGCACCAGGAAAGCAAAGCTGGTGCTGGGAAAAGCTGCTTTTTCAAGTTCAGCACCATGCACTKTGGAACATGGAAGGGCCAGCTGTGCTGCTCTAATGGAAATGTTTCCAGTTAAGTTGTAACAGTGAACACATTCACAGGTAGGAAACTGTCAGATATCACATCATTGTGAAACAAAGTTTTGTGTACATTTCTGTGAATATTCCACCTAGCAAATGGACATCCGACATACCTMTATTTCAAGCACCTTCTCACAGGTAGTGGTACTATGTTGTTATGGTTCTCAAAGAAGAGGAGCTAACCTCACATACTGAAAAACTGCTTTTTTTTTGTCAGTTTTCAGATTTTCTGTCACAGATACAAGTATTTCCTGTCTTGAAGTCTGAACTTAAAATTTGGAGTAGAGAGTAGTTCCTTTATAAACACATACAATTATAAAGGACATGTGAGTTGTGACTATGAATTTAACTCTTGGTCTTAAATATAAATATAAATTCATACAAGGCTACTCATGCTTGTACTGTTCTCCTGGTTACAAAAGAATTAAAGGTACTGTAGTGCATTATTTTGAGCTTTTACTGAAAGTGATCAAGTCCTAAATGCTCTTTTCTCTTGCATTCATGCTCAGAATGCATGGGTTCCTGAACATGGTAATTAAAACTAATTGGCTGAAAAGAGTTTCAGGATGTCAGTACACCCAGCAAAAGTTTACAAACCAGTGTTGTAATGGCAGTTGAGTTTTTTTGATTTATGCTTACAATATTTTTTTTTCCTTTTAGTTCTCATCCGTTTCATAATCATGCTCATCCTCAATCTTTGGGTCACAGCCGCAGTCCTGCACTACAGGAAGACTAAAAAGACTAATTAAAAGACACTCATCAGCACATACATCATTACCATGAATTAAGCTTAAAGAATTTAAGAATTCCTCAGAGATTGAGGAAGCTCTCTAATATTTACTTTTAGCATACTTACAGTATGTACAGTACTTATAGACATGCAGTATAGTACATTAATGTCTATGTCCTYGTAGAAATAATTCCGATAAGATATTAATTTAAGCAGCATATTTTTATTGGTCATTTCAGACAAGTTTCACTGATACCACATTTTCTCTGGATTTTTTTTACTACAAGGTATTTCATAATTAGATGTTTATATATTCTGGTATTACTTCAGTATTTCTGGTTACATATAAGCAATTTTCTTCAATTACACATGATCAATTTTGCACCAACATACCGACTCATTTTTCTGCTCCAAGATGGAAAAACCACATAAGAAGACCAACATAAGAAGTTGGTCTTCTTGCAAGTAGCTCAGTTAGTTCAACATTAAGTATGTATGTAYTTTAGGATGAAGAAAATCTGAGTGAAGACCCAATCCAGAATAAGATTCTAAATGTCTTATACTAAGTCACAAATCCAGTTGGGATTGTAGCACTTACATGCAACATTTAAATAGTACAATTTATACAGCTGATACAGGATACCCATAGTCACTTTCTTCAGTATACCCAGTTTTTATTGGATAAGAGCAAAAACTCAACTATGAAWTCTTCTTTTTCAACCTGAGCTCTCATTCACTGAACATACTGTTTTGGGAACAGCAGGGACTAGAATGCATGGGAATTAATGAAACTGTGACCAACAGTTAAAAGTGTTGTTCAGGCAGAAGTTTCTGGAATGATATGCAGAATTCCCAGACACCATCCATACTGACAGTGACATGTGCACCTTGATGCATCTCAGCAGACTCGTCTCCCATGGTTGTCAGGTTTTGGTGATACTGCTCTGTGGTTCATTAATTTTTAGTCTGCCAGTGCTAAGTATTGAAGAACATAGACTTCACTTATATTTTTACTTCAGAAATTCTAATAAATTTGTAGTACTTGTAGTAAAAGGAGGAAAGGAGMTTCTTGACAACTATTGACAGGGGATTTTGGTTTTGGAAGTACTGCCTRCACAACCAAGTTACATTAGTAATCATATAGCTTGCCTTAATTTCTCATTACATTCTCCAAAATTAAAAGATACAACATTTCAAAAGAGTTCTTACASTATTCTGTTGATTGGCAAGTAAAAACCAAGGCACCCTTGATCCCAACACCCTTGAAAACGATGGGAAGACTGCATTGACTATACTTGAGGCAGGTTTTCTTTGCAACATTAAATTGTGTGACTGCTGTGAAGCAAAGGGATCTGCAAAAGCAGATATTTCTGCCAGTGAACACTCCACAATTGGAGCAAGGCCTTCACCAGAAAACAGCTGCTTCGTACACTCTGCATTGTAGTGGGAAKGGCTGGGAAGAGACGTCTGTGGGCATTGATTTTATGTATCCCACATTATCAAAGATGAGCATTTTTTACTRCTCCAATAAAATGTAAAAATCTGTTCGTTGAAAGAGTAACTGTAAACATTCTGATTTTRCTAAAGCTATGTAAAGTATCTGAAGTGGTTTAAATGGTAGCAGGTGGCRTGTGATACATTTTCCAGGTGATTTTAATAAATGCTATTCTTCAAGATTGATAGTGTCATTCTTACAGTTAATTTTCATTGCATTTGAGGTTTTATTCTGTTTCCATATATGAAAATGAAATATTCATTACAGGTMATAAATGGGCAGCTTTCACTTTAATACTTGAAGCATCAGCCTTGAATATTGACCTGTCAAATGCTAAAGAGCTCCAGCATCTTAAAATTAAAAAACACAGTTTTAATTAATTTCCTTGATAGAGAAAGATTTGTATGGAGTCCACACCCTGTTAYTGACGTCTTTCATACTCCTGAGTGATGCTGTAGAAAATGAAGCTGCTCCATTTTTAGTGTAAGAATCAGCACCTGAAGTTATTTTTTTTATCATAAAATACTGAAAATGCATTTAAGAACAGCTCTTAATAGATTACTTAACAWATTTTGAATAAATCACCTTAGGAACCTGTGGGAAAAAAAGACTGAGGAAAAGAAACAAAGTTGGGTAATTCACGAGTTTAAGGTAAAGTAATTTTGTGGACTTGGAAAGCTGGAGTTTTCATTCAAGCTGCAAGAGATATGGAACAAATCAGAAAATAGCAGTAAATAGTTTTACACACTTTTTCCCCTCTCAGAGAGTAATTCCTTTCACTTTCATAAACACATGCACACTCAAGTTCCAGGCAAGCTCCCATGAAAGCGCAGACCCTGTTTTCCAGTAGGTAAAGCATAATCTTCTCAGGGGCTGGATTAAAGGCCACAGCTTTAGACAAATACATAGGCAGGATAAATCTTGTTAAACTTGTCATTCACCAGTAGTGGGGCACACACAAGGAGATTGTTTGCCTCATAATACAGCCACAGCCACGGGGCAAAGGCAGGCAGGGAAAGCATCTTGGATTTATGGCACTGGGTGTAAGCCAGTAAGCAGCTCCTATCCACAGGGCTGGAAGTAACGGAGCTCCATTCACAGATGCAGTACGAGTGTGGAATTACACACTCGGTGTCTAATCACACCAGTTCAACGTGCTCATGAGCTAACAGCCTGTACTGCCCTGGCTGACAAAGCATGGGTCCTGTCAGGGCTTTCAAAAACTTTTTCCTTGCCTGTGAAAAGACAAAATCTGAATTCCAATATAGTCCACTGAATCACCGCAGACACCTCCAGCAGTGGACATGAACTGCGACTGCATTTGGCAACAGGTAAGCTACAAACTCACTTCAACTCTATTAAAATAGAGAAAACATTTACCATGAGATTTACTATTGAAAGAATGAGGATCTGATGCCAGAGGCAGCAGGCTGCAGGTCTGGCAGGGAGGATGTGTGTAGTGTATTTTTTCTGAACTGTCCTCAGTGAACAGGAAAACGCAACACAAATGCAAAACAATCCTTTCGCCACCCTGTGAGCCTCCCTAACACTGGGCATTCTGAGCAAAGTGGACTCGGATGTCTTTCCTTGTGCTGCTCCAATTCAGCAAGGGATGATTGCTTGGACTGCTCAGGAGTCCCTGTCCCTGCCTGACCCCTGAGCYTCTGTTGCTGCCTCACCGTGTGCACGCAGCTACTCCTGATCCTGGCTCTGCTCATTTGATCTACTGAAACAGGAGAGAAAGGAGTGGGGTGGGGAGGCAGCAACACCCCAAAAACACTGCAGATCCAGAGCTGGATTTTAGYGGTTTGACTCTGGAAAAACTAATTCACAATTAGCTGAAAAGCCCCAATCTTACAGAACAACTTCATTCACTTCTTTAAATTAAAGAAAATTTAAAGAAAAGGTAAAATTACTCTTCCTCCACCAAACAATCATTATCCATTTAGTGACATCTGTAATAGGGGGAAAATAAAAGAAGGAAATAACAGCTGAGTTCAAATGAGGAACGATTTTAAATGAAAGGCTCCACAGATGTGGAGATAACTGGCATGAGGTAGTTTCCCAGCCATGTATTTCCCTGATGATAAATAATTACTTCCCTCCAAATTCTCTTCAGGCTAGTTTGCCCCATTCTCATACAAATTCTTCCATTCTTGAAATTTATGTATGAAGTAGACCATGAAATGTTGCCTTTACCACAAATAATGGTCTAAGGATATCTAATTTTGGATGGTGAGGAAGCTGAAAAAAAAAAATCTTAAATAGGACATTATAAAGTTCTTGGTTTGTACTGAATTTAACTCGCTTGATTTTGAGCTGGAGTTCTCCAGGAGACTTCAGARGTCTTGGTGATGACGGCTGTTGAGGTCAAACAGGTGCCTGGGAGCCACAATGAACATCTCTGTTAAGAATCTGACAGACCATCACTTGTGATGGATCCAATTGCAAGACCTTGCCAGTCTCACAGACCYGAATCCTGATTGACCTCAGGTGTTTCCTGCCTAAAGGCAAGACAGACAGACAGACATTTTCAAGTTAAAGGTGTCGGCTATTCCATTCTACATTGGAAGTGATCTGGGGCAACCATCTGTATCTTGGAAAAAAATCCAGTTTTTGGGCCAGGGATAAAGTAAGAGACTTTACCATGACAGTTTTGATGAAAACTAACTGGTGAAGTTTAACTGAAGGACAGTTAAATAAGTGTCACAATTTTGTTAATACCCTGTGTTGTTTCATTATTTCATCTCATAACTGTCTCAATTTGTCAGAGGCCTAAACAGGTACTTCTGGGCTTTGTATGATATCCCTGACTCACAGGGAGGGAGCTTCAGGAGAGCAGRCACCTTGTTTTATCTGTCAAGGACTCTGGAATATTATGTAAAAGGCAGAATCTGCACCAGCCTAGAATGTGAAAAGAGAAGCTAGCTAATGATTCTGATTCAAACGGAATAGTAACATGGCTCTATCCTGACACTCAATTCTACTTACCACCTTATTTTAAYTGCAACTCATCTGTGCATATGCTTGCTCTGGGATGTACAAGATTTCTGCTTTGGAATGTGGAGGCTTTGGCCAGCAGTACCAATATGAAAATCATATCAAATTCCATACTACATGAAAATCATAAATGGAAGAACACCCTATGCCTCAGTGTAGCCTCTGTCATGTAAATCATTACTCTAACAAAGCATAAATTGAGCTTCTGTAAAGCGTATTTGAAACACTTAATTACTGTAAARAAATTCTTTCACCATCCAACAGCTGACTATATAGAGATTCCTGTATGTAGACTGGTGTGACTTTCAAGAGAGTGACTTGTGAGATTTTAATTTTTTTTCCATTAAATGCACTGTCAGCATAACTTACAGTCCTCATAGACTCTCTGAGCTTGAGGGTATTTTCCTCTCAGCTTTGTTGTTTTTTTTTTAAGTTTGCACAAATTCCCACCTTCCAGTAATACAATTCCCACTGCTGTAGCYGAGAACAGCATATGGAGCACGCAGGCGAGCCTCCCTCCCATGGCTCCAGGGTGAAATAATGGCCACACAGATCCTACTGAATCTCAGGGGCCCCTAGGATGGAAGGTTTGTAATGTGCTGGAAAACATCATGCAGACACATGAGACTATGGGATCCAGTGAGCAGATGCAAGTCCTGAAGCTGCAAGATCCAGCTGTAAGATCTGCTCCAAGAGCCTACTGGGAAATGGAACAGCTGAGGTCAGAAACAATGCTGGACAAGCAGATATGAAACAGGGTTCAGACAGTGGGGTGCCCAGCTCCTTCAGTCTTAAAAAGATTAAGGGAATTAATAGGGCAGCTAACTCAAAAAAGTTCCTGCCAGTTCACTTGTTAATAAAAAGTAGCACATAGCTGAGGCAATTCAATGCCTTAAACGTAAGCATTTGGTGATCCAAAGGAAAAGATTATTGGCAGTGATCCCACAAACCTGATGTACTTCTTGCTGGATAGCCATGCTTACCGAGTGCAACAGCATCCTGGGCAAAAAATACCCAAAGAGTAAAGAGAATGACAAGAACTGGATGATCTATGAGGCCCACAGGGACAGTAAAAGACTACATAAAAGCAGGCTCACATCTCTRAACAAACACTGAAGGCCTTAGACATCCAAACAGGGCAGTGGGACTGAAGCATCCCATGCAGTTGTCTTGGCTGTGAAAGCATTTCTATGCAGCTCCTCCAACAACCAAGTAAGGGCTGCAAGGACATGAAATTACTGCACTCTGCCCTTTCTTTTCAGGATGATGATGTCTTTCTAGATTTTTTTAAAGATATCTGCACTACATACACTTATAAMTGAAATTTTGTTACCTTTCACCGTGACTCATTTTGAAAGATGACTGCATCTTCTACAAGATTATTGGAGCAAAAGCAGATGCAGTCAAATCCAAGGCTCCACCCTTGCAATATAAAGTAGTAATGTGATTTTCTTACCTTTATAAAACAATGCTTCCTGCCTACAAAGTAGCAAAGAATCCAAACCCCASTCTTCATTAATAAGACATGGTAATTATCATCCCTGTGCCAATAAATTTTTTCTGTTTCCACTTCTTGGAGGTATGTTTTTACAGTGAGCTTTTCCATTCATTGCAGTAGTTCCTGGGGAGCACTAGGCTGGATGTGTTTTGAGTGTTCTTCTCTGCCACATACATCTCAGTAGACTTGTTGTATTTCTCAGATAAGACTGAGTGTATATACACCTGTCCACTTTTTAGGCARCTTCAACAAAGAACACAAACTGTAGTTTCAGAACCACTCCATTAACATCTTTTACGGAGATGCAAAAGAAGACTCCCCACCCTCATGAGGGATATTTCAAAGCAGCAGGCTAACCCTATGATCCTTGGGATTCTGACAGACCCTTAAGTGATTCAAAAGATCATCTTAAAAAATAAAAAATAATGTTTTCAATTTAAARTGTGCAGAGATGATCATCCATACAAAACTGTAATGCAGTGAAAAGGCACCAAGCCTGTCAGAGGTCAAGGAGTGGCTGGATAATGCTTTTAGTCATATGGTTTCGTTTTAGGTCATTCAGTAAGAAGCGGGGAGCTGGACTTGATGATCCTTACAGGTCCCTTCCAACTTGATATATTCTAAGATTAGATGAAAAAAAAAAAAATATTTTAACATGAATGTCAAGGCAAACTATCGAGGAATATGAAGGAAACTGAAATACTCCAGGTCCTTGAACCGGACCTTGTACTGCTATGCTCTTCTGCCTCAGGAACAGAATAAGGAGGTGATTAAGGGTTTATAAGAGCAATCCAGGTAACAAGTTTGCTTTCATGTAAGTTCCCCTTTTTCACAGCAGCATCCCAAATATAACCTCMCAAGCACATGATGGGTAAAGGCACTTGACACCAAAATACATAATCCTCTTCCAAGGATGATTCTTTCAAAGCTAGATGGGAAATGAATACATTATAAGATGACAAACAGAAATGCTCAAATTTCTAATGATCACTTGACATTAGAAACTAAAAAGAAACTGAAGAGAAAAAGCACATAATCTCAGTGGCARCTTTCCTGGCCTTGGTGCCTTCAAGAGCCACTGAACGCCTCTCAAAAATTAGGAGGTTCAGTGTTTTCAAGAGGCAGTAAGAGATTTAGACATTTGCAGTGAAATTTCAGTGATGTTTTAAATTTGGCCCCATCACTGACTGCCAAGATCCTTGAGCCTCTTGCATGTTTCCAAGTCCTACATCGTCCTTTGATTCTACATCACGTATTTGGTTACAGCACCAGCAGTGCTCAGAAGCACAAGAACSACCAGTTTTCCTCTAGTTAAAAGCAGACAGGGTGCTGGATTGCTGGCGGTGCTGCGAGGGTCTGCACTTTGGCAGGAACCACAAGAGGTAGGGAACTGCAGCACACAGCCAGGACAGAAGTGGAAATCTCATTGCAGAAARGTCTTTCTGACAACTGGCAAGGTAACTCCGAAGGGGTCTGCCTGTCCAGCTTCTGTGCTGGTTAGCTTTCGGATTGGGAATTAAGAAGCAACCTCCCTACAAGTGCCTTGAGCTCCTGGCTGCCAGTTTGACCCCTGATTTTCCCAGGTTAACCTGGGAATTGCTTGGCTATGCTCCTTGTTGACTCTAGTGAGACAAAAGGACTTGCAATGAAAGAATTTTCTATAGGTAAGTCATTCAGGCCATAAAAATGTCCTGTTTGCTTGGGACAACCCTGTAACAAAAAGAAGTGTCAAAACATCAGTGAATTTCAAGACAAATATTTCTTAGTTCATGAATATGCCCTTCTCTCAAAAATGTTAAAAGGTCACTGCTGGATAACAGGGAAACAACACTGTCTCCAGGAACTAAATTAAAGAGCTGTTTGCATGTCACAGCAGGATGAGTGACAAGAACAGAAGAGCAGCTCTGCCTTTTGTGTCCTGGGAACCAAGTGAGGTTGGTGCACCTCAGAGCACTGGCCTTGAGGGTGCTGTGCTCCCCAGTGCTYCCCCTTAGCCTGTGCTGCTCCATGACACCATCCCCGTACAGACAGCTAACAGCTATTTGTACAAGCACAGAATTTTTGAACTGTGGCTAGCMAATACTATCATATAGTACATTTTCTAAAAGGTCAGGCTTAGCAGGGCCCTGTGGATTCACAGTAAACGAACACAAACCAGGGAGTGAAAGTGCAAAGGATCCAGCCCCAGCAGTGGAGGAGCTGCCAAACAGCTCCCTTGGAGTCTGCGCTTCCTCCACACACAGGCTTTGCYCAGTTGCCTTTGGAGCAGCCCTTGCTTTCCCATATCTGCTGCAGTAGTTACCTTCATATTTAAATATTTCAATTAATTACCAGCTTCTCAAGTTCAGGAACTATTTTACCTTACTCAAATAGTTTATTTAAAAATATATATATATAATATTCTCCAATTCAGAAAAGGATAGAACTTCCCACAATGTAACATTTTTTATATATATATATATATAAAATATTTATGCATTCAGTGAATGGAAACAGTTTTACTGTATACATTTTTAATGTTGTACTCTATGCAAATCTGCATTTTCTAAAAATATACCGTACTTCTGTAAATCAAAACAAGCAGGGAAAAACCACTGTAGTTGTGCTCTGGGTTATAATACCTAAAGGAAATTATATGAAAGTTTTAGTTTTGAATTTAAGAACTCACAAACATTTTACTTTGTGAGTGCATAAATAGAAGACTGAATACATTCTTGCTCTGTTAAGCTGAACTGCAGTAGAGGTTACAAAATGTAAATATATTTATTAATTTTCAGTATTTCAGTGTTTCCAAGTCCACCTTTCATGATAGTGTTAAATAAAACATGGTCCTATCCTTCCAAACATTTCCACACTCTTTAAAAAACAAAAACAAACAAACAAAATTTTAAAGTGAAATGTCCTCCTTCATTGAAGTGTTAGATCATATTTTAAATTACTGCACTCCCACACAATATTTTATATATATATATATTCTAAATATATATATATATTTATATATATAAAGAGACCAAATATGAGACTACATTTTTTACTGTCAATATGTTTAACATCGCATACTGTAGTTGTATAAAACATGCATTTTCTGGGATAATTATGAACACATCATTATTGAGCCCACATAAATTATATTTTTTGTACAACTCCAAGTTWAAAAAAAAGTCAGATTAAGTGCCTCTGAGGCCCTTTCTTCCCAGCTATCAGTTCTCAAAACACACTACTGAAATATTTATCTATGCCTACAGCTATGTGCTAGAGAACCAGATTAAAACTTTAAAATACATCTACAGTATGTTTTACTTTTCTTAAAGTTTGTGACAGTCCTTGGATATTGTGTTGTGAAATGTAAAAATAGTCACAGATTCTTTTATTTTCCAGAAATAAAAAAAAAAACACATCTAGGAGAGTATGCAAAAACAAGGCAAATGAAGTTTCATAGCACTTAATGAGGGTTAATATAAGTCAATAACTAGTATTGAGGTTTGTAAAAAGGGCTGGATGAGCAGTTACATGTACAAGCAAATGGTCTGGTAAATCCCATGCTTTCATTGTTTCTGTAACCAACACTTCTCCACCCTTAAAACCAGTCGATATACATTCAAAATAGGCTGACACTGATATACTTACTAGGTGTAAAAATAGTGCACTATATCTTCTGCCACAAAGCAAAATTGCATCCTAAGAGCTGGTAAACTTTCTTTTTCCTTAAATAGAAAGAATGGGCAAAAAAACTTGAAAAAAATTAAATTAAGGCAATTAGACAGGTAAAACAGGACTGCCCATGATGATGTAGCTGAAACTAGTATATACTTCAAACCTATACTAGCTGCTGAACAYTGACATGCAGCTTCTGATAGACGTGTATGAATGATATAAACTTCAACATTATGGCTTTATACAAGTGCATAGTTGCAACTGCAATAAGTAATGGTATCTGATTAATAAGCATAAAAAAATAAAGTGGAAAGATTTTTAAAACCCTCTTGCAGTATTACAGTACAATATATATACACAGTATAATGGTCACTTCTTACAGATGCAGTCTATATCACTATGGTGGATCTTCGTCCGGTTCTACTTGCAGACGTGCTGGTGGCATCTTTATGAAAGCTGAAAAGTCAGTTTCTTCCATTTCAATACTCATTCCTCTTGATCCTTTATGAAATGTAGTGTGTGTGTCTTGCCAAGAAAGCTTTTGTGGAACACAGTTTAAAAGGTTACCTAACATACCCTTTTACTATTTACCAACCATTCCTCAATTGATCAGTCACTCAGGAAAATACAGGAAAACCCTCAGAGATTAGTAATTTATATTGCAGCAAAAATGTAAACCTCTGATATATATAGCACAATCTCTCAGGAAAATATATATATTTAATATATTTTGGGATATGTTTCAGTCTTGCTGTAATGGGAAGAAAATTATCACCTTGACTGTATCTGCATTCACGGAAAGCAGTTAGCTGAAAAAGAAGCAGAAGTTCAGTCAGTAAATGCAAGAAATGTAAATCTGACAAAAATACTTCCTCAAAGTCTTCATTTGAGATGGGCTAATCATCATACTTGGGAGAAACACCTTTCCTCTGCATCCAACAGCRTCATTACTTCAGTATAGCACATCCTTATGCATTATAATCACAAATCAATTAAACCCCCTTGCAATACATGAGGGTATAGTACAATATGCCCCGAGTAATAGTTACTTCTACAGGATTAGTGATCTGTAAGCTTTTAATACATAAAGATGCAGTATATTTAATTAAAGTAATGCTCATTACTGTGAACACTAAGCCAGTTAGCTCTGCAGGAGCTCAGTTCCCTGAGCACACAGCTGAGAAACAGCGCCAGTGCTGCTGCTGCACGCCTCAGACACAGCTCACATACTGTTCAAAACCATTCTTAGGCATTTAACATTTAGAGGTTCTTCTCTGTGTAAACRTAAGATTGCACCAACATGTGAAATGATCAAATCTTGAGGTCTATAAAATAGTAACACTATTTCCAGGACATCCAGAATYAAGCCACGGGACAAATCAGGTCACTACAATGGCTGGATCTTTCTAAAGCAGTCAAGGAAACCACATCACAGAAGCTGCAAAGCCCATTTGTTTACAGAGTTTTCAAATGCGTGGTTAGGTACCCAGAAAGCACAGCACTGCAAAGGAAAGCCAAGTCAAATCCACTTCAGAACACAGGTAGAAAAGCAAAATGCACAACTCCAGGGATTTCATGTCTGCTAGCCATAGACCAGTCAGTTTATATTAAAAGCTTAAAAATGAAAAATGTTTGTAAATACCAAGTCTATTKCAGCTAAGTATCCAACTGCTACCATCTCCCTTTTATCCTTCAAATATTCTCTGCTGAGGTTAGCAATATTACGATTAGATTATGAGCAACAACTGACAACACCAGTTTTGGGTTTTTTTACAGGCAGGCAGACATGAATTTTGAAAAAAAATATCTAAAATTAGAAGGATAAAAACAMTGATAAAGGCAACAACTTTGTTTTAATGAAAATGACTCCTCTAAGAGTTCAACATCATGAACAGAATCTCATTTTTCTGTTTAAAATATTAAAATGAGATCTTGTATTTTCTCCGCTTCGAGAAACAAATTCCAACATAGCATGCTGTATTCAAAGGCAAACAAATCCATTCCTCTCTATKTAGATTTACCCCTTATACTTCTTCAGAAATCAAAAACATCGTCATCATCATCATCACCATCAATATCATCAACATCATCAAATGACCAATCCCAGTCCTTAAATGCCAGATCAAGTAATCTGCAACAGGAGGGTTTGATGTTTAATGARCGTCACACTTCTATAAAAGACTTGAAAATTCCTTTTGCTATCACTAAACCTTTTTAACCGAAAGAATGTTTAAGGTAGGTAGGTTTGTTCCTTTACCTATCATGAGTATGAAGATTCAGTTAGTGTTCTTATAAGCTAAGARTATTTCATTAATTGAAAATTCATCTTAAAAATAATTCAATTCAATATAGAACACTTACCATACTGATTTTTMCCCCAAAATTTCCATAGGAAAGACAAAATGTACATTTTATAAAAWTATCTGCTTTCTGTTTTGYGCTGTTCTTGCTGACTGAGGAAGATTTATGCTCTCMTACTATCCCTTTCCAGACAATAATGTAAAGCTAACAATTTTTCCAATAAAATCAAGTAATTTTGAGCACTGAAAAGAACACTGAATAAGATTGCTTCATCTGAACGTACAAATACAGCAGGGTTTTACTATATCCTAAATACAGTGTGATTACATTACAGAGCTATTCTGTAGCTCATTATTTAAAGTTAAGCAATGCCAAAAAAGAGAATATATCATCTTGTTGTCTAGGCCTCCCWGTCTGTGCTCCTTGTATGGTCACTATAGGACAAAGAAAGCAAGCGAGGCAAACCCTGTCAGCAAATGAGTCATTTTACTTATCTGGGGCATTTATTTCGGGATGGGGTGAATCACTGTCTAGAAGCACTCATCCCTTTCTGCTATTATTGAAGGATCTTAGACAAATATCTTAAGTAYTAACTTTTCAATTGCTCTAGCAACAACAAATGAAACTCCAGCCTAGTCATCTCTCCAGTGAGCTGAAAGGATCTTTAATCAGGCACTAGCCAAGCATACGATGCAGGCATGGAAACCGTAACAGGGCATCAATATAAACATGTTACATTGTTTAATACGGTTAATCACGTTTTAAACAAAATGGGTTTCAGGGGAATTTGGATTTTCAGGCTTTAAACTATTTAAACCTTTAAATGTAACACAGCCCTGAAAAGGCTCAATATTCCCTTGTTACATGAATTACGGCTATAACACTCAATTTATTAGTAAATACAGGACGTAAAATACAGGACTTTTTTTTTCTCAATTTGGAATAATCCTTTTGGCACAATCCAACTGAATGGCAAAGCAGAAATTATATGGTCTGTATAAAAAACTGGTTTGCCCTTTCTTAAATCCTCACGGAGAACAACCATGAAAACCTTGGAGAAACAATCACTGTGTGCAATTCCTAGCAGGGACAGCATTTTTAGGACCATGCATCTTGGAAGGGACTTCAGGAGATTTCTAACTCAACCTCCTGCTCAAAGCRGGGTCAGCTGGAAGGCCAGCCCAGGATGCTCAAGGTGTCAAAAGCCTCCAGGCATACAGCCTGTCCAGCCTCACTGGTCTCCCTCTCTGCGTTGGGTTTTCCTTCTMTCCACCTGCAATGTCTCCTGGTTCAACTGAGCCCCTTGTTTCCCACCCTCCCACCATGCAGCACTGACAAGCCTGCCTCTCTCTTGGACACCCTCCCCACAGGCTGGGACAGGCTGCTATGGGAGCCCTGGAGATATCTGTCATCCAGACTGAACACATCCAGCTCCCTCAGGCATCTGCTCTGACCATCCTGGTGGCCTCTGCTTGGTCTTCCCCCACTGTGTTGATGTCTGGCTGGAATTTGGGTGCTAAAAGGTGGAGGCAGTGTTGTGCTGCAGACTATGGAGTGAACAAACAGGGATAATCCCTTCCCTCAGTCACCCAGATGTGCTCCTCTTGGTGAAGATCCCAGAGCCTGCCTGGCTGCCAGARCCCACTGCTTGTGCCCAACCACTCAGTCCCTGGATTGAACTGGCAACTACATCTTCATTCTTAGTAAAGTTCATAAAGGAAAATTAATTATTGCATATGGTAAGCACAACATTGATATATAAATCTGCCATAGCAATTACAGTAATTTATGAGTACGTGGTTTCCAATTAAAGCTGTTTAAATCATACAAATTTCCACTGCTTTGAGAGACCTGCATTAGTAGGATGATAGGTGACATGACCTCACAGAGCTACMCTTTTCATCTGTTAGGTACATCTGCAAGGCTAACTTGGAAACTTAAACTGAAAAATTAAATGTTTTASACATAAAAATATTCATCCTCCTCCTTTTCCCACCAGTATAGAATGGTAAATAGTATGCTACGAAACCATTTYGTATACACTTGCAAAAAGATTGAAAAAAGGGTGTTGGGAGGAGAACAATTATTTTCAGAACACCCAAGAATGGCAATTGAAAAAGAATCAGAATTTGTAATATACCTTTTTATGCTAACAGCAAGAAACAGAGCAACACTACAAAGTTGCACTATGCAGAAGAAAAATAATCAACTTGTCCCCCAAGGTATCATGAATGTTCTCTTGATTAGTATTCAATTGTATCACTGATATTTTGGTAAGTTTTGCACAAAGAAACTCTTCAATAATTGGTCCCTAAAAAGTGATTTAAAAACTTTTTTCCTTCATTATTACAATTAAAAAATCTATTAATTTAAAATCCAAATTATGAGGTCTGATCCTGTTTTAAATGTGCAAATTAAATCACAAAAAATCAGACTGTGTAAAAGTTAGAAGGGAAGTGAAATTAAAATACTCTAAGTCCTTTCACTCTGCATTTCCACCCATTAAAATACCARTATGTGTTTAAGATTGAACTCTTAATAGCATGAGGATGTTTGTGGTAACAGCAGCATCACAGTAAGGTTGTGTTTCCTGCATTCCCCACTGTAATTCTGGCCACTCACCCAGCCAGCTGAGATACTGGTGCCAGTCTGGGCACAGAAACAAGGACAGCAATCCTGTCTAGCCACTGCCCAATTATCTCTCTGGGGAAAAATGTTAAGCCTTTGCTAAACTGGAATACTGCAATGAACAAAATGAGTCAGACCAACCTTTTCACAGGCTGCTAGCACTGGGAACTGATAGAAGCAAATATAAGCTAGTACTGAAGGTGAGGAAAAAAGCAAACTGGAAAATCGCCAGAAACTCTGCACTGTGCAATCACATAAATACTACCTGCAGAATGATATCACCTCCACAGCACACTATAGGATTCTGCGCCTTAAAAGTGATCCAGGAGCAGATTTTTGTACGGACAATTTTTACCAAATCAGAAGAATCTGGTAAGACTACTCTTTTAGGAATCATGAGACATTAGCATGAGTCCTTCTAGGCTGAATAAGGAATTGAAACCACTTGTAGTAAAACATTTCACAYAAGAAATGAAATAGCAGCTCTTGTGTCACCTTGGTTTGTTCGGAGGAAGCTGTCGACTTGGTCGTCTGATGGACTGGTTTGGCTGTACCTTCATGGAAGTTCTGGGGGAAGATCGAGCAAAGGGGTCTGGTGCTGGAGGCTTCTTAGGTATTTTTTTCACCAGCCGGCTCACCCATTTTTGCTGTTCTTCTGTAGAATTAGCTAACAGTAGTAGATTCTTTGCCGTAGAAATATCATAGTACACTGTAACAGGATTTAAAAAACAAAAATTAATATTGTTATTGTTCTAAACATGGCCCCACATCAAAATTTAGCTGTTAAGATTACCATACTSGCATAGTCAACTCAGGGAAATCAGCAGAGAAATCAAATGTAAAATGAACTACTAGATTCCCTGGCTGCTGACAGTGCCTCCTCCTCATACTGAGAGAGCAACAGTTTAGCACTGTGGAAGATACACATTCACATGGAAAAAACAAGGGAAACACAAAGAGGTGTGATTGAGACCAAGAAATTATATAATGTTATGTCACAGGGAGCAACCTGCACCAAACCTGACACCTTCCACAGCACTGTTCTTTTCCAYAGCAAAGAGCACAACACACAGTGTGAGCACCTTACAACCACCATGCTTGGCTGCATGAGTATGACAACACAACAGGTATGTGCCATGAACTCAGAGTGAGTGACCCTCACAGACACCTTCAGAAAGGGACTGATGGCCACATACTAACAAAAGACAAACTAACCCTTATCTTTAGTTGGTGTCAGACCATTACTAGAATGCTCTGATTTGTTAGAATGCCTTGTGACTCCAGCACTGTATATTCAAAGATTTACTAATTACCTTTGCAAGGCGCTATAATCTCTTCTTTTTTATCCATGTGATCTTTGTGACATTTGATATGGCAGCGGCGACATTCCAGAGCAGGAGGAGGTTTGAACATGTGCCACAGTGGCTTCATACAAGCTTCACAATTGGTTGGGAAGTGGTAAAGAGTAGGTATAAACTCATGTCCTTTGTGACAAATGTAATTTGACTTCTCTCCCATGGGCTCCACAGGAAATTCCTGTTCCTTTTTGCTCTCTCCTTCATTAGCGTATAGGATCTRGAATGAAAGAATACTGCAGTACTCCCAGATGGAAAATATAAATTCAGTCATTATCAAAGTTGAAACATCAAAGAATTACACTAGGAACGAATTTTCAATGATATTTTTACTAAATATTTAATTAGACAATGTTTTTGACAATGTCAAAAATACTGTGTCTGTTTCACTAGAAACATTAATTTATTAACCAATACCTGGAATATCCTTGGAATTTCCTTGGAATCTGCTCTGTACACATCAGTCTGAGTCACTGGTCGGACATGGAAGAGTTTGCTATAGGAAATTGTTTCAATAAGGACAAAAATTAATGCTACCAAAATGACAAATTTGATGGATTAAGTTAGGATGCAACATAGCACATTAAGACGCAGAGCCATTACAGATTTGTCAAATTTGCACATATTTCTTATCACTTGGTTAAAGTCTTATCTTTCAACCCTGCACATGAACTCTCAAAAACCCTAAATAAAAAGAAGCCACAAGCAACTGGCTAAATTTACAAAAGCACTTGAAAACCATCATCATGTGACTTCAATGGCTGCTGGCAGCTTTCAACACAATTCTGTCCCTATGCTCCAACCTCTGAATAGCCATATCCTGCATTTATTAGGAAAATAAATTAACTATACAACCCACCTCTGATGACATGTTGTAAGACAAACCATATGAACACTGAAAATTATATCCACTCTGCTACAGTTTTCTTAACATGTTCTGCTCTCAAGTGTAYGTGAGGTTGCTCTAGCTGAGCTGGTGGGTGCATTTCCTTACATTTTAGTTACATCAGGGCTCAGTGCAACTCTCTGGATCAGTCTGAGSACCACACTGATCCTCCTGCACCAGTGCCTACAGCAAAACCAACCCTTCATCACAGTGGGTACCGAAGGGTCCAGCTCTATATGTAGATTAAAAAAAGTAATGTCCCACATGACGTGCTCCCAGACTGGACCTCAAAAGGCTTTGGTCATAGGTTTTTCCAGCAGAGTTCACCTACAAATCAGAAGAAGGAATCAACACATGGCAATACTTACTCTATATCCAATACCATATGGGGATTAGATTGTTCTTTATCTTGTTCGCTGTCATAGAACAGGATCTTCTTGCTGCTTACAATCACATACTGTTAGGAAACAAAAAAATAAAATATGTTTTAATCCAGCTCATCACAGATGTCAAWTATGTCACAGCAATTATTACATATGCTGCAGCAGTATTTTTCCACAATTTGATTAAATGGTACCTAAATGGACAATAGTAGTACTGTATACTAAGTCCATGCCAAGGAATTCATTGCACAACAAACAAAATTCTGACTACCTGATAAATCAAGTTATATTATCAGATCAACTGATATTTAAACATATTTAAATATCTGTGAAGAAAAAAAAATGAAAGTCTGGAAGAAAGGAAGATAAAAGCTTTTCTTTTCTATTTYATTGACTTAATTTTCACTTAGATTGGTAGAGAGAGTAACTGTCAGTCTCTGCCTATTTCATGTGTGCAGGTCACAACTAACAGGAATCACACTTTAAAAGATCAGAATACTTACTTACCAGAATAGCTAGCAAAGTTCACTGAAAAGCTACTTACCTAAAGGATGTCCTACTTCCAGAATTTTGCCTAGAATTAACAGTATGACTTAGCAGTAAGGAAACTGGTATGAAAATGTCTATGTTACATTTTGGACAAAGGCTTACTAAAGCCATTACTGAGAAGCAGTAAAGAAATGAAGGCTGCAAAAGGCAGGAGAGTAGTTGTTAGTCTCATCTCCTAAAAAAAGAAATTGTCAAAGGCATCTGTTTCCAGGCGCTGCCTAATTCCAGCTATGTTACACTGCTGGGAATGCTTATGGCATGTACAAGCATTTGAAGATCATGAATGACTGYTCTCACCTCTGGCTATACAAAGAGGTGTCTTAACATATTGCAATTGTCTTAAGCTGCTCCTCTCAGATGTAACTATACCAGCTAAAATATTTTGTACACTTAAGTAATGAGAAAACACAGATCAACGAAAAATTGAAGTGTTGAAAACCTACAGTAAGTTTAAAATTGAGACTACATATGAAACAAGATGATAAATGTGGTTTTCTTACCTTTTTAACCCATCCAAACTTTTTAGTATTATTTCTAACAGGCATTGATAGCCAGCCTTCCAATCTTGATTCTGAAAAAGAGATATTTATTAAAAACAGACAAAACATTTCTTTTGAGACTACTGTGCATTTTAAAAGTTATTGAAGATCAAYAGTAAAGCAACAGAGCAAACATGAGAAGATGAACTATTCAACAGTACAAGGTCTTGCACAGTTTATCATGATAAATGCTCAGGAGTACATTAAAAAATGTAATATCCAGACAATAACCAGCAATGCAATYACAAAAAAGTAGTAGGCATGAGGAGGAAGGGGAAGAACAAACTTGCAATTATAGCACACACATTCCCTTTTAGTACCTTTTTTAAGTCTTAGAAGCTTTATGTTTATCAACTTTTGCCTTTCACAACAGCACCTAAAGATATTAATATACACCACACAACATCCAATCCAAGACAAAAAAGAAGGCAAATTACAACCAAAAATAACCTATATACCCTATAGGCTGGGGAAAATGTCAGTTTAGGCCTGTAATTCATACTTTTTGAATAACYGATACCTTCTGTAAATTTTCTCTTATTCTGCCTGTATCTCCTAGGCTTTCTAATCCAAAAGAACTAAGGTTTTGCTAATCCTTATGGCTTGCGTGAATTCAATTGACCTTTCACACACTTGCAGTATTTTATATTACACTGGCACGTTTGTCACATTTGATTTATCAACAGTATTACGAGCTCAGCTGTTGCTTGACATACACCTTTCAGTGGTCACCAAATGMTCAACAGAATCACACTTTGCCAGTGCTTGGTAACACAAAGGATCACAAACCCTTTGACCATATTTTTATAGCTGCACTTCACACAAGTGTTTCTTCCACCTGTGTTTTATAAAGAGGAACTACTCAGTTGAAATAGTATTTTTCTAATGAGTTTCCTACGATAGCACATTGCTATCTACTGCTRCTGAGGAAGCTCCAAGCCAAAAATACTGAAGCATTAAGCATTAGCAAACATAAAACYATGGAACAAGCAGAAACACACTCCAAAATTACAAAAATAATTTCCTTCTCATCAGAGGGCATTTGCAGGTTCCAGCCTGTGTTTAACATAGTGTAACAAATAATTACTAGATATTCAYAGAATTATTTTTTGTCTAGAGAAMCTTAAAGCAAGATATACAGATACACACTGTCTGCCACATTTATTGCCCTCCCAGCATTGCTGTTGATGACCTTTKTTAATACACATCCCAAATACAAGAAGCAGTTCTGTAAGATGTTTTGGCTCGTACCTGCCACCTTATATTGCTCCTTTCAACTACACCTCATAGAAAGTGTGGCAAGCATAATACTGATGCAGAAAAAGTCTACTCCATATCCAGAAGGCACGTGTAGGGCAAGAAAATATGCATGTTTCTCCTATTTCCTAAAATACAATGTTTTTCCTATTTTTCTCTGTAATCTCTAATACTGTGTGAAATTGGACAAAATGAGAGCTTCTGATTATACTTCTTCACTTATGGTGTCCATTCAACACTGACAGATTAGAAAAAGGGCAGAATATGCCAACCTTCTCACAATACATGCTTATTAACACTAGAAGGGAAAAAACAACCACAGACAACCATCCTACCTCAATATTTTTAATTATGCAAGCAAAAAGTCCAAGCTTAGCTATGATTTTTACTTTAGAACAAAGCAAATCCATGCATATACCACAACAGCAGCTAACAAGGAAAAAAGTATGTTATGTACATAGCTTTTCTTTTATTAGATGCTTCAAAGCAAAAAACAGAGAATGAGGAAAACAGAGTAAATGCATTATTCTTCACTCTAGTTTGATGAAGTAATGTCAATATCCCAAAAGAGGTTCTGCCTTCAGTGGAAAGGAATGCATTTTAAAGGAAYCTCAAAGTGAAAAACAGAAATTTGAATGCAACTAGAAAACCCACCTCTAACCTTAATATAATATAATGTAATACTAAAGAGAAGYTTTGTTAAAAGGGTTTATGTGTAGTGAAATAAAATGAATACATAATTAGTAAAACAGAGCGCTGTTTTACCAGGGCCTTATCATTCATAATACACTTTTAAGGCAAAACAATGTAATACTCAGGAGRCTGAATTTCTACAAGAAAATAACGTATATTTAGATATGAGGAGTTAAATGTTTCCACCCTTCCCTTAAACACAAAGATTCATCTTTGTGGTATTCARTACCTTAGGGTCATACAGAGAGCTGCATATACTGTGTAGAGGCTACCTGGAAAACAAGCCATAAGGCTCACAWATTCAATGCTTCAGTGAAAATGGTGGGTTTAGAACTGTCAGCAAGCACTTGCAAACATTTAGAGAAAACAGGCAGTTATTTGTTCATGCAAACTTTCTCACATCTTTGATGGCAATGTTTACTGCCACTGCAGCATGTTAACTGCCACATTCGGTTCATGTTTCTTTAATAATGTATTAAYAGTGTTAGTTTTGAAACAGAGAAAAGGACACACTAAGAACAAATCCAAACAGTTCTCAGGGATGTCACCTGTGCTATCAACTTCTGTAGGGCTGTGGGAACAAGACAAAGGTTCCTCCTCTGAGTCAGAATCGGAATCAAGAAGCATGCGAGAACTGGAAGGCTTAGTGGCAATACTGACAGAGGTAGAAGAGTGCTGATAGGTAAAGGACATGGATTCCATAGTGTGGGATTGAGTGATATGGACTAAACATAAAGCATAAAGGAGGAGAAGYAGAAAAGAAGTCAAAATAGAATCTCTAAGAAGAGAGTATTAGTTYTACATTTCATCACATACACACAGTAATGGCAAAGTAATCACCAAAATAAAGTGAAAAAATTATTTAGTTCTAAGAGCACAATAATTTTTTTAAAAAAAACTTCTTTAAATAAATGTAAGGTGAAGTTTTACAACAGACAGATTTAGTCAGTAGGTGAACAAGTGATCACTATCTAAAGATTGATAAGGTGGTAGAAAAAGATGAAGATGAAAAGTCACAGAATCATCAGATCATCAATTTAATACTCCCGTTTCTATGGAAAAACACCAGTATAAACCAAATTAATGCAGAAATATTAATAAAATTAGCATACCAGGGAATCCATCATCTGCTTCAGCCTCTCCAGGTCCACTTCCTATGCTACTGTTGTCCAGTCCAATGTGCAATGACTGCAGCTGGGAACGAAGCTGTTCAATGTCGCTGTCTTTGCTGTCCAGAGTCATCTGCAGTTCAATCCGGATCTGACTCTCTTCTGCTATTTGCTGCAGGGATAAATTGCAAGATTTCCTATTATCACAATATTTGGTTACTCAGAGAAAATATAAGTAGAAAATTATGAAGAATTTATAGCCAATCTTAACATATATTCTGTGTATTTCTTCTGGTTGGGGAATTCAGAAATAGAGACTGGATACACTACCTTAAAGTCTGTATCAATACTGTGATTTTACAGAAAATACTGCAATGTTTATATTTGTTAAAGGATCTTACTGCCTGCATTTCATTTATTTCCTTCTGATATTTGATCATCATCTGGGTTAACTTTTCTCGTTCAGACTTCAGTTCCATATGCAGCTTCCTGTTTTCCTTTTCCTTCCGCCGTACATCAGTGTCAGCTCCACGTTTCACTGGACCCTTCCGATTCATGATCTCAGCCAATTTATTCACAGCCTTTCCAGGGGAAAGAAAGAAGTGACAAAAAACACACAAATACACACAGTTATGTTGTGAAGAAATAAAGTCTCCTATCCATAATCAGGCACTTTTAACTATAAACTAAGATTTCTGCAGTCCAGTGCTACACAGYTGCTTTAATTCAATGTATTTACTCAAAACATAAAAGATGGTAATGATACCATTTTCACTTGAAGCAAACATTAACTGTGAACACTTCCACTCATTCAAATAATCCCTTCAATTTTCCATAGCAAGACCCAAAATATATCTTGTATTAAAATGCCACTTGCTCTAAAAAAAAACAGAATTCAGCAATGTACTTCTTTATAGACTTTACAGAGGAATATAAACCAAGACTGAAAACAGAAACAAATCATCTGACAGAAATGAAGACTTTTGCTGGTGAAATACATCTGGATTAGAAGTTCCTCTGTTAAAAATCATAAGGATTCAGTTTTATTACACTGAAAGTCTACTGAGTAGAAGAAAGAAAAAACCAATATATTTTCTTTCACAGCAAAAACCAAAAAAAWTTTTTTAAACAAGTTTTCTATTAAAAATTATTTGATTCACTATCACTATTTCTACATTCATTTAAATACATTTGCTTACCTGGGTTTTTAATGTTCTTTCATTCAACAACTGTTTCTCAAATTGTGCTTTAATATTTCCTACATTTGCTTCTTCTTCTTTCAGCTTTGTAATTTCTGCAGCAAGGTAATTAAAAAAAGATTCTATGAAAACTCATTACAAAAGAAGATAGTGCTATTAAAGAACAAACCTGGTTTCARTTTAAATCACATTTGGTTCAGAGAATACGTACGTTCTTGTGCTTCCTTCAGTTTGTTGTTAAGTTCTTCTTTCTCATTAGCAAGGTTAGCCACATCACTAGTTAGTGTCCTATTTGCTTCCTCCAGCTAGGAGAAAAAAAGGACATGTGACCATGTAACCAAAYTCATATGAGTTTGGTTATGAGCATCAAACAATGCATATGAAGCATTACAATACAGAAGGAAATCCTGCAGAGTGAAACCAGGMTAAGGAAAAGAGGACTTGCTGTCCTCTTGACAGAAGAAGGAATGGTCAGAGAAATCCATGTAAGAAACACGATAAGAGATTTTTGAATTTTGTAAGAAATAAATATTTTTAAAATCTTAGATATATACCTCTAAATCTGCTAAACAGGAATGGATGACTCAAACTGTAAATAAAGCTCAAGCTCTATAACCTCTACCCAAATTATAAATCATATAACTCACTGAGGCTATGGTGGCATCTTTCTCWGTAAGTTCCTGTTTATGCCTTGCCATCATCTCTTTAATCTCCAGCTCTTTCATAATCTTCTCTTTTTCCAAATCAGAGTACTGTTCTTCAGCAATGGAACGGGCAAGTTGTTCTGAATCCGCTTTTGTCAACGTTATCTCTAGCTGAGCAGCCAAGGAATCTCTGCAAATTATTGAGATATACTTTTAACTTTAAAAAGGGTAGGTTAAGGAGGAGAGGAAAGAAAACAACAAAAAGCCATCCTGATCTTTTATGTATTAGTAGTCCAACAAGCAAACCCACCTCTCATCCTGTAACTCTTGTATCTTTTGCTGCATTTCTTTACAAATTTTGGTCTTTTCTTCACATTCTTCTTTAAGTTCTCGAACTTGTGTCTTATACAGAGTCTAGAATTTAAAGTTGGAARGAAAATTATGTGACTTCTATATTCTTGAAGGTCCACAAAAATTATACAAGTTGACATGGTTGCAGTTCTTTAATTACACTATTCAGAGAATAATTGTGCAATGCCTTCTCTAAACTTATCTAAATGTCATCATAATTCACAAGTGTGTTTCGTTTTTTTCACTTTATTGTTCTTCCTTTTTAAACTTGTACATTTGTCAGTGGGTTGATGTATGATATACATTTTCTWTGTTTGYATTCATACAAAATCAGAAGTATMAGAAGCAGGTAAAGGAATTAATTTRTTTTTCTCTACTATTTTTATTTAATGTAATTAAGTATGTAGAGTTTAGATTCTAATCATACAAATCCATGAAATCAACATGACAGTTAAAAGACAAAAACAAATACAGGAATATGGGAAAAAAATTAATTAGAAAATAAGTGAAATTCAACATTTCATGGAATCAATACAAACCTCGAACTCTGAAGAAAATGAAAGAAGCATATTGCTTTGTCCACTCAAAAGACTGACTACAGGTAAAGCAACAGACAACTCGAAGTGTACTTACTGCAGGGATTTCAAGACAGATTGTCTCTCTCTGGCCCATCTACAGCAGACAAATGACCTCAGTTCTCTCCTTTAATATCTGCAATATTTTCGTCTATAGAACTTTAGGTAGGCCTTTTCCTCACTGACTTAAATCCACAAGGAGATCTGATTTTCCTTTAAYAGGGAAACAAGCCTTTTGGCTTCTCCTGAAGTGTGACTGGCCGTGCATTATTAATGAAAATTAACCTCCACATGCCAGTGACTATTTTTAAGTGCAATACCTATTTATTCTGTTRTACCTTACCACAATAAATCAAAAACTCCCAACAGAACTCTACTAYGTTTGGCTGTAAGGCAAAAATTTCCTTCCAAGCTATAAGTGCACGTGTTTTGTCACATCATGTGAGAATACAACTCTTCTCTACCATACAGCATAGAAGAGATGCTGAATGCAAAAGGCTTCAAACAAGCTGAAGATCATTCASTCAGTGGAAAAATGAGTTTGACTCCTCCCTCTGAACTCCCCTACAAAGCTGGGGCATTTCTCAACATGAGCTCTTTTGTACTGCTCAGTGATCAAGATCAAGACTGCAGACAACACTGAAGACAGGCACAAGAAAAGCAAGTAGATTTGGGTTAGAGATGTGAAATGTCTGATGGCAGAGGGGGAAGAAGAAAAGCTACCACTGTTCTCAGTAAACAGATTAGTATAAAAATAAAGCAGCATAAAACTTACTGAGAAATACTGTTCAGCTTCAAGCTGGTCTTGAAGCTCTTTCATTTGTCCATCTGCATCTTGACGTTCCCTAGAAAGGAATAGAATATGAAGATATTCTAAACCAGTAAACAGGAAAGACAGCATTCGCACTCTTGAGATCTTCAGGTATTTTGTGACCTAAGTATAGACAGCTATTAAACCTGAAGCTTCCTCTGARTACCAGCTCTCTTTTTCACTAGTACAGCTGAGAACACTGCACTAGTAAAAAGTCAGTTTAATATTGTTAACACACTAACTACAACAGTGTGACAAAGTTTAACCAGTGAGAGACACTGATAAAGCAAACAGCCACCAACAGAATCTTATTTCCATGTAAAATGTCACTGATCTGACTAGTTGTTTTGGGTCTCTCATTTGCTAGAGCACAGTCTGTGAATGTCTGTATCCCTTGACATGYGTATTTTCTTGAATTCCTCCATTATTACAACAGTCAGTTCCACAACAACAGAAATGTAGCAGAAAAGACTTCTGCCACTGTTTCACATTATGGCCACCTTCTACACGACCAAATGCATCTTGCTGACAGAAAGGATAATGCACAGGGAGTTAAAACTCAGAAGTCAAAAAGGAGTGAGGACTGAGATCCACTGGCATTTATGGTAATCTCATCTGCTCATTCATAAGGAAGTTCTTTATAGGAAAAAATATTATTTACTTCATTACTATCAGGTGCAAATACTACTTGTAAGACCTTGAAGAACTGCTGGCACTCCTACCTGAAAGGTCCAACAGATGTGTTTAAACATCTGTTATATTACATATTTCCAATGGTTATGCTTCACAGCTCTGTAGTAGTATTCATTTCCAACTCTGATAAGCTCTCCTAGTCTAATAATTCCAGTAACTTTCCTCTTCACTGAAGTCCTACATCATGAAAAAMAAGTACCTGGACTTTCAGTTAAATAACTGTTTCTCTGAAGTCTTCAGAGTCATATTTAAGCTGTGTTTTTTTAAGATTTTCAGGATAACAAACATCTTTTAATACAAACTTGTACAATGCTGAATCACTAGGGTAAGTCTCAATAAGAGTCACTGTAAATTATTTTAAAGACCCATTAAGTTTTGCACTGTAGAATAGCACATTCTTTGCAGCAATTTTTTTAAAGTTAATATTGCTCTCAACTTTAGTTCCAAAAACATTTCAAATTAGCAGCATGACTAAAAAATATAGAGCAATTTGCATACTTGCGGAGTTCATTGTTTTGYTTTTCCAGGCTTAATTTGATTTCCTGAAGGTGGTTATTCTCCTGTTTTAACTGCTTCTCTGACATTCTCAAGGTGTTGACCTGCTGCGTTTGCATCTTAAGGTCATTTTGAGTGAGACAGCGCTTTTGTGTTTCTTGCTCGATTTTTAATGTCAAGTTTTTTACCTGAAAAAGAAACAAAACCCAGAAACCTGTGAATTTTACAGATCTACACAGGAAAACAACATTTAAACAATCTCTGATTGACTTCCTTTACATCTTTGGGTAAATCAAAGCTGCTTCCTGGACAAAGGCATTAGCACATATTCAATTAGCTAGTTTTTCCATGTCAATCTCATAGCATTTACCACTACGTAAGAAAAATCTTTTAAGATGAATATTGCTGAAATATCTCAGAAAAATAACATCACATTCCATGAAGTAGACTTTTTAAAGTTCCAAAGACAGAGAATAAAAACTTTGTTGCTGTTTTCATTTACAAATATCCCTCAATATAGCTGTAACAGGAAAAATATTAAAACAGTCGCTGAAGACAAAGTTTGACTCAAGATTCCTTTTGTCAGTGTTGCTTACATCTTCAGTTAGGATATCCTTTTGCCGAAGGAGTTCATTTATTTTCTGCTGTGATTGCTTGAGATCACAGTCCAACATGGAGCGCTGCTTCTCAGCTTCCAACAACCGATTCTCTACTTTCTGCTTTAAAGCTCTCTCTTCCAAAAGTTTTTTCTCCATTTCTATAAAGTAAAAGATGTAAGACATCAGTGAAGTGTAAAACAGCAGATTTTGGAGGCCAAAGGGAAGAGGCTGTCTACCCTGTATTAACAGTAAGCCACATGTTTCTCCTTTTAAAACTGAAAAGAAAGATTACTTTAAAGTGATTATTAAAATTTACAGAGTAAATACACACCCAGAGGATGCTTTTGCAAGCATTTCTGACAGAGCTATTTCCTACTTTTGAGTTTATAAMTAACTTCCAGTTTATCTGTAACACCTCTGAGGTGAACAAAAAGGATGGAATTTTAAAAATAAAACATTTAAATCTACTGTGCTCTGACTGTAATATAAAATCAAAGAGCTGAAGCTGCTTGAATATGATTCAAGCATTATTACTGAATCACTTTTGAAGATTTGCATGCTCAAAATTTTTGTGAAAGCTCTGCAACTGAAGAACGAGATCTGTAGGTAGCCTTTTCATTAGCTGCAATAAACATAAGCCATTTAATTCAAAAGTAAGAGCCAYCTTCTGGATTTTCGTTGGAATTATCCCTTCAAGATACTTCAGTTGTCATGAAATGTACYAGAATACATGCAGCGGAAGATTATATTATCTACTCTGTATAATTCACACCTAAGTCCAACTGTAATGTCAAATATATACCTTTCATGGCTTCAGATTTTGCTTCTTCTATAGACTCATAGATCTTATTTTTGTCTGCTAATCGTGCTTTTGTGGCTTTATGTTCAGCTTCTTCTTGTTCAAGGTTCTGCTGCATAACTTTAAATTTATATGTCATATCTATTTCCATGTTGCTCTTTTCCTGTTAAAAAAATAACATTGAAATAAAACATTAAATACATCAGGTTAGTGGCAGAATTTTGAACAACAGTACATGCGGCTTGGAAGGATGCACAGAGTAGAAGAGAGAGCTCAGGCTAAGGAACTAACTGAGAGTTCATACCTACAAATGTATTTTTGTGAACACCAAAGTGCTCTAAAAATGTACCATGTCCCCAGTTCAAACATTTACAGAATTACTACCTTAACAACCACCATTCTGCAATAAGAGCAGCTCAAAGATTAAATTTATTGAAGAAAATTTTCAAGACTTTCATTTCAATAATGAATTCCTTAAAAAATCCTATTAGGAGAAGGTTTTGGCAATACTGAGAGTTTAAATAACTCCACACATGAAATGAAATGCTGCTACTCTATTGTTAAGCTACACACCGGAGTACATAATTATGTACTTATGTACTTTAGATGTATAATGTGTTATGATTGTATGGGAAATTATGTCCTTTTTCCCCCACTTCTCAAATTGGAAATAAAAAAAAAAAATAAAAAAGCTGAAAACAGGCTTATTTTTTGCATTGGTTTGGTCTCAATGTCTCAAGTAATAAAAGTACAAATTCTAACATTCCATAAGAACGTAACACCAACATTCATTTAGCAGTGCTGTTACCTTTTCTAAATCTGTGAGCTTTTCCTGCAATTGTCTCTTCTCCATTTCCAGTTTGGCTAATGCACTCTTTCCATTTTTCACTTCTTCTTCAAGGCTAGATATTCGACCTAAAAATTACCAAAATATCAATGAGGCTGGGCAGTGTGCAAAAACAAAACTGTACTTTATCTACTAACAGATAACATTTTTGAAATGCAACAGCTTCTGACTTTTAAGAATGTCTCCTCTGGAGTGATTTTAGAAGTTATCAATAATGTTTTATAGATGTTATCACACAACTACTCTTAAATGCCTGTTCACAATTACATAGCATTTTTTTTTAAACAGTCCACTAATCTAGTCAATCTGAAGCTCAAACAACACACCCAAGCCAGAAACAAGAAGCAATCTTAACTTTAAAAGATTTGCAGGAATACCTTGTAAATCACTGATAATCTCTGATCCATGACTTCGATCTCTCCTTTCTGATTCTAGAGCTGACTGAAGATTGAGATACTCCTTCTCCAGTTTGAGTTTTGCATTCTCTAGCAGGCAGTTCTTATCTTGTAGTTCTCTATTATTAATTTCCAGCTGCTGGATTTGCTTTGTGCTTTCTGTCTGGTTCTTCCTTAACCTGGCTGCAGTATCAGACTCTGACCGCAGCAAAGAATTGGCTTCATCCAACTAAGATTGATAAAAACAATTAAAATAAAAAAACCCCATTATTTCTACTACAGAACACCAGGTTTTATTTTTGAACACCAAAACCTGACGAGAAAGAACAGCTTTTAAAACCCAATTACACATTTCAAATCCCTCCACTTTWACCCAAATCTGTACTTCAAGCAGCAATTATTTTAAAATATACATATATAAAGTTAGCATACCTGTCTTTGTAGTTGATTGATTTTTTCATTGGATATTTGAGAGTTCTGATTCCTCTTTTTTAAATCTTCAAGTTGGTCTTTCAAACTGTTAACTGCAACAAGAACAATTCAACACTGTTAACCACGGTCATGAAAACACTTCAATTGGAACTATAATTCATTTATTTTAAGTTTTAAAAACCCACATCAAAATGGAACCTTCAAGCATGGTTCAACATACCCTCATTTTCCAAATTGCGTTTCTTGTCTGCTTCATGCTCTGCTTTTCTCTGGTATTCTGTATTCTTATGCTGAAGGAGAGCCTTCTCTCTCTCTAACTGCCTGACTGCAGACTCTACATTCTTCCTTGAAGTTATCTGGATGTATTAAAAAAATACACCACTAATTACACACACAAGAGTGGTATTCTTATATGATAAAAGCACAGCTCATGCACTCAGTTGAGTCTGTAATGGAGGAAGCCAGCCTATCTGCTTGCTGCAAACACAACGTATCATATCACGTGGTCAAATCCAGCCCAAGATGTCTATGGCCAGGAGCTTTGCAATTTAAATACTGTTTGATCCTCTGGATTTGACAAACCTGGTAGACCTGCCTAAGCAGTCACTCTGGGAGCAGAGAAACCACATATGTAAGGTAAGATCTTGACATGCACCTGCATGTGCAATACATGAAGTTATACACAGCCACAGCCAAATTTGTAGAAGCACTAAGGTGCAAAGTTGGGAAAGGAATAACATCTTTTTCCTAACACCAAACAATGAAAAGCATGGCCTTCCTCCACTGGAAACACTACTCTCACTCTTTCAATTAGTAAAAACTGTATGGATATTTGTATCATGCTGTCTACTAACTCAAAAACATGGTAAAACATGAGTTCTGGAAAGAAATGTGCAGTTACAGTACAGCAATCAAAATGAAAGTGTTTTAGCAGTGACAACAATTTCATGCTTGTAAATACCAAGAAATCAACTGGTGTYACTTGCTATAAAACATACAGCTACTAAAAAGCTGACACTACTAAATTTGCTGACACTGAAGGAAAAAAGCCACACACAAATGTTGAAGTTCTAATTCCAGTAAGAAATGTATAGCCTTACCTCTTCATCAAGCTCTTTCGCTATCTTCTCTAAACGAACACTTGTAGACCTGAAGAAATTTGAAAAATAAATTTAAACCCTGTTGATAGTACAGAAATTAGAACGTTTGGATGTGTCTCAATAATTTCATGTAAGGTACTTTTGTTTCATTAATTTTATGGAAGATATTCTATTTTCAGCAATAACATGAAACCTTCAAGGACTGGTGAAATCACTAAAAGAACAACGAGATTCCTATAGAGAGTTAAAGGAAAAAAAAAACCTCAACAAACCCCAACAAAACCACCTCACTAGTCACAGGAGTAGCAAGAATTAAGCCAGCAAGTTACAGTGAGGTCTCCTTGCAGGGTTGGGAATCCCCGAAGTGCTTTAAAATGCTTTTAAGTATTCAAAAACAAAATGTCTAATAAAACTTCTTTATAAGGATACCAAACATGTTGAAACATTCTTACCTGTACTTCTGTTCTAGTTCATCTTTGGCTTGTAATTCATTACTGAGCTGTTCTTCTAGCTTGCTTAGTTTTTTCTGAAACTGTAAAATGTCAAAAAAAGCATGGCCCACATATAAAAATGCTTTCACATAAAACAAATGTATTTCAATTAAGAAACAAAAAAGGGAAAGCGAGGAAAATTACTTCAATCTTCCAGTATATTATTTTAAAACCATCACTAGAAGATTACATCTTTACAAGGTATTAATTGTGATGATTTTAAAGATATGGATTTATAGCAACAAAATTTGCTGCATGCTGAATTGAATTGAACCATTACAGAATTAGGTGCCCCAAATTGTCAGTTATAAAATTTATATGGGCAAAAAACATTGTTACCGGCCCTCTGCTGTGCTCTGTAGCCAGAGACTTTCCACTGCAGCAGATGTTTTTGGATAGCATTTTCTAAATGAAATGAAAAAATAAAAAAGACGTGTACATGACCAAATTGGATAATATTCAGAGAATATGACTAAACATGTTCAGTGACCTCACATAAAGAATTTCTTAGTCTTACACCTTGGAAACTAATGAACACTTTTCAGGTTTGGAAATGCTTTGTTTTACTTACTAAAATATTTAAAAAAAAATGTGAGTTCAGTACCCAAATATTCATTAAATAAATAATAAATAATAAATGTTGTATTAGTCTCATTACTTCAGGCTTTCAAACACATTCATTTTCCTCCCTTCCTCCTCTTCCTCTACCCCCCAACACAAAATGTAAAAACAAGGTTTTCTAAAAAACCTTGTAATTGTTACAATTAGAAGATTTCCAGAAAAGAGACAGTGAAAAGGACATCAAAACTGGAGATTCGTTGCTTGAGAAAATACAAATAAAATAAGTCATCAGAATGAAATACAAAATTTTGCCATCTGCATTTACTATCACAACATAAAACAAACATAATGAATGTGACCACATGTATTTTAAACAGCAGTACCATTTCTTTCTAAAAGGTGAAATCTAAAACTATTCATCTATTCATCAATGACAGGAAGGAAGCGGAGTCTAAACATTCACATTTAAATTTATCTGATCAATGGATAATGTATTTCCTTCATGTATTTTTTAAACTTTGAAAAGGAATTGTAATTTTTAAGAAATGTTAACAATATACTATCTAGACCAGAATAATACAAATGTTTAAGTCACATAATGAAGTAAGTACATTGAAATACCATAGCTTTTCCTATCATGCAAATTTAAATTCATTTGTCAGTCTTCAAAAGTTGGATAAACATGCTCCATATGCTTCAACTGGAGTATGATTTAAAGATTCCTTTATCCCTGCAGGTGACAATTTACTTTTTCAAACTCTGAATAAGTGAGTCATAAATCATTAATGCAAGTGTGGAACCTTCCCAAGAGTAATGCTGTCTGTAGCAAACGGAGCCTCACATATGAGCTTCCCAAACAAATTCTGGATGCAAAAAGAATTTGAGAAAAATCTGCATTCATTTATCTTTTTACTATGGCACCTTAACACTTGAGTACAACTGTTTCAAAATACAGCTGGTTTACTGCTAACAATTTGGTGAATAAACATTTAAGATACATCACAGCCACATAAAATTATGCAGGAATTTTTTTATTCCTTTCATAATTTGAAGACTATACTTACCTCTTTGCTGTCCTGTAAACAGAAAATACCATTTTTATTGAGGATCATTAAAAAAACAAAAATCCCCACACAAAACAGTTTGAAAACTTATTTTAGACTTTGTCTTTTCTTAACAGACTTAACAAAATCATACCATTAATACTATGGAAAAAAGCACTAACCTCATTTTTACTAGATTGCACAGATTCATTTTCTCTGCAAGACTGAGAGGAGTCACTTAGCAACCTGTCAAAAACAAAAACAAATCCCTCCAGCTCTTACTCAAGTTTTCAGCAACTCTGGCAACCTTGCCATTTTAATCAATTCTCTCAAATCTCAATTTGTCCTATGCTGCTCTCAAAATGAAGCTTGTTTTATTTTGATCTTAGTGCATCTTTCTGATTTGAATCTTTCCTTAACAAGGTGTATCCAAAACTACAGCAGCACAGTAAAAACTACAGTAATTTTTAATTAATACAATTATTTCTTAACTATTCAAGATGAATTCTATTATGCAGAGCAAACTTTCTTCTAAAATAACAAATAAAAAGCCATTTTAGAAGGAAAATTACAAATCGATCAGAATTTTCCCCTGGTTGATTTTTTAAGATACTGTATAGTTTTTGTTTATAAAAATACAGTGTTTAATAACAGTTATTGAAATAATTGAAATAGTTATAAAATAGTTATAAAAACATTATTTCACTCAAAATTTGCATGTTGTATCTTCACAACTGGTCATAAATGAGCATAATGCAAGGAAAAAATTATGCATTTATAGTGAAAAAAATGAAAGAATATAAGAAAAATGTGTAGGTATGCTTTTAAAAATGTATTCTGAAGTATCACATACAAATTGTCTCTGTAGTAGGTAAATCCTATGAAAGGCAGCTGGTTTCCCACGAAGGCTTTGGGGATTGGAAAGGTTTCCACGTCTCCCTTGTCGTCCTCAATGTCATCAAAATTACTGCTATCTATATCACTGCTAAGCTCAGGAACAACAGGAGCAGCAGCTAAAAAAAGGGGAAAAAAGATGCATTTCACTCCAAGATTCAGTCACCTGCTATCTACTGGTATTTCTCTAGTGCTAAAAGAGTGTATTGTAAGTTGTCCTTAAATAACTTATAGTTAAATATGTATTAACCAGACAGCAGATCTGGTAATGTTACCGTGAACATTTTTTTCTGGAGCAATCTATTTTTGTATTAGTTGCCTAATGCACAGACTATCTCTTATGCAAGACATTATTTGCTCAGGTAATCACACTTGAGAATAGAACTCTAAATACAATCATCATTTTAAAAAATCTTACTAAGTATATAGCTTTCTAAGTTATGACAAGCTCATGACTGAACTGACATACTTTGCTTTTTTACCTAAAGCTATCAGGACCCCAACAGCTTACATGAAAAGCAGTAAAACTGACAAGATCACTGTCAAACTACCGTCTTAATTACCAGAAGATTAACAGAAAAACGAAACAAAACAAAAAAAAACCACCTCAAAAGAACAAAAAAAGAGGAACAGAACCTAACATGCATTCCTTTTAGTTAAAATTCTGAAACATCCAATTCCATTCCATTGTTTAAAATGAAAAWGTCTGCATTAAAAACATGATAACAGTGAGATAATTCCGGTAGGAAAAATACGTATTTACTAACCCTTACTCATATGAGGTTTTATAATACAAATGATAAATATGAATGTTTGAGCAAGATTTTTGACAGATAGAAAATACTTAATTTATACAGCCATGTTTGTTTTTTTATTCCTACTATTGCAAATATTGAATAAAATAGAATTTTAACCTAATTTACTTACTCTCTCGAATGTTGTCCCAGTTCCATTGATCACTTCTGAAGAAAGGGTGATGCTTTATTTCTTCTACCCCATTTCTCCCAAGTCGCACATCCCTAAACAGCAATTAATCCAAAGTCACATTAGGAAAAACAGCAGTTTTGGATGTTTTTGTTTTTTTTTTTTTAATTTAAATTCTAATTGTTGATAAGCAGCAAAGAAACTTTCAATAAAAATTATCTGTGTTAACCACACTAATGGTCAAACAAAAACAAAATCTAAAAACCACCAACCACTAATCTGTAGTTCCTTATATCAAATGTACCGATTCTTAGCATGCACTTTCCCTGTGACTGCTAAAATGTCCAGAATCTGGAGTCTGCCACGTGGGGAGTAAAGCAAGAAAGAGAGAACTGAGGCAAAAACTAAGAAAAAACTAAAAACACAAACAAAAACTCAATACCCTTGGGGGAAATAAAACTGCAGAACTTTCATGTCTGCCAAACCACATGACAGACCGTAAGACGCAAGTGAAGGAAGGTCTAACTTGCTGCACAGAACAGCTATTCAAAGCTGGACTAAAATAAATATTCTAAGAATTCCATCCTCTGCTCTACAACAAACCCTGACAAGGCTCTTGCTGATAGTTGCTGCAAAGTAAATCCTAAGTGCAGAAGAAACTTTAGTTTCTTTTAGTATGAACGGAGGAGTCTCTCTTGAAACTACGGACAAGAACAGGACATAAAAACAATGCATGGAAAAGAAGTAATAAATCACAGGGTCGATGCTTAGTCCTTTAAGGGCTTCAGCAGAGATCACGCAGCATCTGTTTCAAATAAATCGCTCGAGCCCTGTGTTAAATATAAACAGGAAGAGGGACACACGTAGTGGAAGTCCACCTTACCACATTTACACTATTAAATTCTAATCATATTTTCTCTTTACCCTTCAGCTACCAAGGGTGAAAAATGCTGTTAAATAAAGCACATCCTTCCTGACCAACTGCAGTCTTGCTCAGTAGAGCAAACGATCTCTCTTTGAATGCCAAATCCATTATAAGGCWTTTTGTTTTCTTAATTCCTTGTTTCTTTAATTCCTTCTGTAGTGGTCAGATGCCTGGCTCCAGCCAAGTTCAGGTGATCACAGGAAAGCATAAGAAGGCATCATTGATCCAGAGTTAACTATGGAGCTACAGTTCTTTTAATTTAGTGAAATCAAAATTATCTCTGAAACAAAACAAAATGTAAGTGTTCAGGGCAAGAACAAGCTTACACTGCCTAATTTCAGCACATGGCTTAGTTCCATAAAGGGAAACTTCAAGAACTTTTTTATTTTGGCAGCCAAAATGATATCTTTCCAGGTTTGTTAGCTATATTTACCCATTAATGCAACAAAGCAAATGAAAAAAATACTTCAAACACTTTACAAAACCTTAAACAAACTCAGTAAATACATGCTTACTTTCAGGAAAGTACTGGCTTCCATTCTTAAGTAATACTCACATGGACATTGAGCAAAGCAATTTTTTCCTTGCCTTGGAGGTTACAAATAACTTTCAGCCTTACCAGGTTTATTACTCCAATTGGAGGACTTGTCCTGCACAAACTGTGCTGTTAGTAAGAGCTGTCAGAACTGCTCATAGAAATAAAATACAATACCTGGAAAAAACACCCCAAAAGGAAAACTAGAGAACGGGAGGTTTGAGAGAAGAGATTTGAACAGAGATTAGGGGAAATAGTAGAAGGAATTAATTTTTAAAATGCACAATCCAAAATAAATACAACCAATACCATCCAAAATAAAAAACAGTGCCAGAACAGTGTGTGCACTTACCTATCAGTTAAAAAGGCACAGATAAGGTTCTTTGCATGCTTAGAAATTTCCACATCATCTGGGAAATGCAATGAGTTCTTATGATCCATAATTTTACTATATGTTCCTACTAGTGAGTCTGCATAAAAAGGAGTATCGCCTGAAAATACAATAGTAAATTGGCTGTGATTTTAAATCATGTTAAAGTTATCTGAGTTGAATAAGACAAAAGATACAATGAAAAGTCTATAAACAGTTCATATACAATAGTCTTTTATTAAGAAAAAGAAAAAAATTGGGCAAGCAAGGTACAAAATAATGTATATTACTAAAAATATCCCTCCCTAAAATGTCTGTGTTATTAACTACACCATTTTCCATCCTGCTTATTGCTACCAAAATTTTGTGTGGTCAATTACATCTTTTGTTCTGCATTGCGCCTTTCAATATGTTTTCTCATTTACATAATGGCTGACACCCACATGAATCAATCTTTAAACACTCCAAGGGTAAAATGGACCAAAACTGATTAAAGATTTGCTAATGCACATTTGTTGGAAGGAATTCACCAAAGCTCTCTGCAAACCATTTCAGAGGCACACAGGTCTACCCTGCCTAAGGCATGTCAGCTCTGAGCAGGAGCCTTCCCAGTGTGTTACCACACTGTTAAACCCGTATTAATAAATCTTGTTGACTGACAAATTACATCAGCTTGAGTGCCCATATTAATATGGCAGGTGGCTTTTAAAATCATAGACCTTTCTCACCCAGAGGTTTCTAGCMTAGGCTTTAAAGATATTTGCAAAGAAACTAGATGTAAGGAAGGTAAAACAGGGGCAAGTGAAAAGAACAGGCTATGATAAAGGCAACTGAGAATCAAATTAACTGACAACATTCTCAACATACAGATGGTTTGGGTCTGTAACCAAGAGGCTGCAACTTTTACAGAAATCCTTTCTCCCAACTAATCCACAGGTTTAACAGAGAAGGTGGGCAATCAAGTCACATAAGCTAGGCTCTTTCCTCTGTTCTGGTGTGCTGCATGCAGGCAGGAATCATCTGACATTGCAGGCTACAGCTTTCCAACAAAGAACACAGCATTTCAAAAGTTACAAACATGAAAAAATGTACAAACAGACCAGTGGACAGCAACCATTCTGCTTTCAAAAGAATATAAATGTAACAATCCTAACTTTTGTCTTTTTCTGTCATTTTATGGCAAAATAAGAAATTAGTACACACCAGCTTGAACTAAACTTCTGGACTTTTGGTAAATTCATTAGGTTGCCACACCAGAGCATTACAGGTGGTGATCACTGATATTTGCTGCTGCCTCCCTATTTTCCAACCTTCCTCTTCTCACTTTTCTCTTGGAAACAGCTTTGATTTTGGCCACACCTCAAAACTATCTTAAGTGACTGAACTAATGTTAGGATTTACCCTGTGACCAACATTTTACCTTTCGGTTAAGCACAGAATAAAATTTTCATTTTCATAATAAAATTACCATTTTCATTAGTTCTGCAGCTTTATCAAAACCAGAATAACAAAACAGCTTCTGTGCTTTCTTTGAAATGCAGTTTTAGAAGATCACAGGCAGAAGCTGATACATAAGCACAGACAAAAATAGATACTTTCTACCATTGTGTGGGATATGAGAAATTTAAGTAGTATTTCCTCCTAGATACAAGGAGGAGAAAAAAAGAGGCTCTGAAATGCTGAGAAAATTCATTCTGACATTCTGTACAGCTATGTCAAATATTTTAAGAGCTGAATTATTTCACTTACTGCTGAAATCATTCATGAGAGACTGTAAACCACACATTTAAAGTCAAAATACGGTAATTCTTAAAGAGTTGGAAATAGTAATAGCATCATATGTTCACATGTCTTTCCTGGCTCAGGATAGCAGAAACAGGAAATCTGCAATATTCCCAGGAAATGCTGATTTAGATTTTTAATAATTATATACTCAATTCCATCTTCTATAATCAGTATTTTGCTACCAGACTATAATACTGATCCTCACTGTATTTTAAGATGCAGATGACTCATGCCCTTAACAGATTATATTCCATGTTTGTTGCCATGGCAGTCCAGAGCATTTTACTTGAAAATCCTGACTCAAGCACAAAAAAAAGAATCAAGCCACACTTCTACATTTTGACCTAACAGAAGACACTGATATGCTRTGGAATGGAAGGAGAAAAGGACAGTCCTGCTCTTTCCGTTCCTTTCTCATCTGTGTGTCCCTGCAAACTCAGTCCTGCCTGAGGTGGCACAAACGTGGTGAGGTAGCTGACCCCGGTTAAAACTATTCTAAGAATTAGTTTTAAGCTGAACCGAGTCAGGGAACTAATCACTGAGCAAGCACGCAAACAGCTGTCGCAGCGCCAGAGGGACAGAGACAGAGAGAACAGGAAWGAAGCCGCAGCATCAGCCAAAAGTCAGAAGCTGTTTGTGAGGTACGAGCAGCCTCTGTGCAGCAAAGTACAGCTACAGGCACACGAAAGACTCAGTGGTAATCTCATTAGCAGAAGAAATCACTACTTACCAACTAACATCTCAAAAAGGAAAACCCCTACAGACCACCAGTCACATTCCCGTCCATAGTAACCATCACCCCCCTGCGATTTCAGGACTTCGGGCGAGATGTAGTCGGGGGTCCCCACGGCTGTGTCGCAGCGCACCATCCCTGTCTGTGCAACAGTAACAATACAAACAGCTCAGTTCCAGGGGCTGCTCTGCACCTTTTGAACCAACTTCTCTGTTAGCAGAACAGAAAACCATAAAAATACAGCCTAAAATACTTGGTTTGAGGAGTGTGTTTTAAAGACTGTTTTTTATTCAAGCAGCAATATGGATTGACATGACATTTCTTGGTAATGTGCTTACTCCTGCCTACTCCATAGTGATTTCCTTGACTTCATCTTCCCAAAACTTCCCAATTTTATTATTTTTACTATTGCTTTCAATATACACCATATCAGAGCGCTCCTTTTCTCACTGATTTGAGGGACAAACTTCAGAATAATTTTGACAAGTTATGAATTCTAGGCCCTACAAAGCAGATACATAACAATTCTGTCTAATTCAGCCAATAAATTTACAGGTAAATTTTTATAGACACACCTTGTTTTTTGTTTAAAGATAGGAAGAAGAATAAAAGGATAAGTTATTTTTAAAGAATAGCAAAGCTTTTTCTAAAAAAAAAAWATATATTTTTATTAACATATTACCACAGTTCTATCAATGGAATGATTCCTCACCCTGTGCTTCACACTGAGAAACTAAAAATGTAGGGGCTAAGTGACGCAGAAGCATCAATCAGATCTGCAAGTGTTCCGGTTCAGAGTTATGAGTCTTGTTTCCTTTAATCAAATTCACTGAATTCACTCCTGAGAGACCAGATGGATGAACAAAATGAAATCCTGGATGAAGTTAGAGAAGTACTGAAAATACACTCATCTTTTATTCAGTTTCTCCATCTGAAATTTTATCTAAGTAATCTTGCAAAGTTCTTTGTGCATTTGTATTCATGGTGATTTGTGCATTCAGTATTCATGGTGATACGTATTAATTCTGAATATTATTACACAATATTAGTAGCAACAACTAAGGTCAAAATACATATTTAAAGAAAATAAGAGAAACAYTCTCTTTTGGCAATTATACTGATACATAAAATTTAGACACCACAATATTCATTCTCATACACAAGATGAATTGTGAAAAGCTTTCATTTCTGTACTAAAACAGAATCCAGAAAGTCATGCACCAGCAGGCAAAAAAAGTCCTGCACCACAGGGATGACTAAATACTGGTGGAGACCTATTGGAGTACTTCAAATGTCCTCCTGGCAATAGTCTATCATTTTCTATGACTCCATGCTAAAACTGAAAACTAAAGAAGTTTTAACTTCTCAGTTCCAGAATGAAGAGCAGGGAAACTTTTGCATTTTGTACTGGATGTGATAGCACATAGCTTATTCATACTGGGATAAGAAAATGAACTTAACTCTTTCCAGAAGACCTAATGCATTCATTGGACAAAGAAAAATACAAACACATTTTAACACTGCAAAATAAACTAAGGCTCAAAGGCTCCAGAAAGCTGCGAGCATTTGACAATGGATCTAGCACACGGCAGGAGCCACTGTTTGAATATCATGCTTGTGACAGCCCTCTGGCACTAACCTATGTGTCTTATCTGAAGCCTAAACCTCTCTTTGCTTTGAGCACAGGAGGAACTGCTCTACGGTTATGYGATTCTGCTCATCCAGTAGGACTGTGGCAACTTAAAGAGCCCTCCAACACTGGTATGTGTCTATCGCTTCCTTGTCCAAACACAAAATTACAGCAAGGGAAACTGAGTTTTTGCTCAGTCGAGTCTGGTTGAACCCACCTGTATCTCTCACTGGGTAAGAAGATTCTTTAAAAAAAAAAGTCACCAAAAACAGTTCTGAAAGAGTACTCTGAAGTCTGCAGCTTCAGTCATAGCTTGCCACCTAAGCACTTCAGAACACCCCATTTCCCATCCCTCTGTGATTAATGCTCCAAAGCAAGAATACTTTTTAATATGTCACACATGTTGGTATTTTTTGAAGTCTYAAACAAACAAAGCAAAGGCTGTGCCAAAAACAAGGCAGACCTACACAAGTCTGATAGCTGGTGTGCAGCAACAAGGAATGTCTTTTCATCAATGGTACAGATGCTAAAGAACTCCATGTAATAACACCTTAAGTTTTCAGACAAGATRTCAAAGAATTGAAAACAAAAAGATTATTTCTACAGTAAAAAAAGGCCTTGCATGCTAACACCAGGTTCAGTGAACTGTAGTTCTCCGAAGCACTTGGAGATACTTGTACTTTTTCCCCATAAAACTCTACCTTCTGTCCCAGGAACTAACCTAGAAATGCATTTACATATGACAGAACAGCCTGGCTTGGAAGGGACCTTGAAAGAACATTTGACCCAACCTGTCATAGGAAAAGGAGCCTATATAGGCTATATATAGCCTATATCTAGCATGCTGTCCAACTGTTTCACCAAAAACTCCAGCAATGAGGATTCTACTATGTCCCTGAGGAGGCTGGCCCACTATCACCTGAATATAAAATTTCCAGATTTYTGTTCTGCTCATTTACACACTAGTCCTTTCAAGGAACTTGGGTGTTGYTCTGTGTGCATTTTGAAGTACTGGGTACCTTTAGTACCTTAGTCAGACTCACTTCTGTGAGTTCTGGCATCAAAGCTGAGAGGGACGTGCTCTTGGTCCAGTATGGAGCCACCTTGGCARTCCCTACATTCTGAAGAGACTTAAATGGTGCTGTTTTCTCTGGGCAATGTGTTACTCCTGTGTTTCAAACACTAAAGCATCTGTTTATGCCTGAGTAGCACACCTATTAACAACTCTCATACAAAGCTTCCTGYTGGGAGTCTCAGGCCAGTGTTCTAYCTGACACTTTTCTCATCACCTCAAAAGATGAAGGTGGACCTTGGAACTCATCTCCTGCAGCTATGTGAGGGATGTACAATGCACAATTTAAAACACAGGCTGTCCAGGAGACACAGTAATGTTCTCATAGCTCCTGACAACTTGGCAGTGAGGCTGTAGTGTTTCCTAGCATCATTCAGCATTATTATATTGCTGAAGACAAAGCAATTCAGGTTTCATCTTCAGGATCTCCATCAGACCTGAAGGACTTGCTGTCTTGAACCAAAGCTGACAATCAGGCTTTCACTCCCTCATTAAGTTCCTCCCAGCAAACAAGAGCTGAGGGTGTTTGTGTGGAAACATTAGGAGAGCACACATCAGATGTTAACAGTGCAGGCAGCTCGTGCAGTGTGCTGCAAACAGTGGACTGAGGAAGGATCCTTCACTGGAGAGTCTTCACAGGAGGAGCTTCAATTAGAAAGAAGCTGGGTTATATAAAGAGGAACACGCCGCTTCTTTCAGCTGAACTGCCTGGGCTGAGGCAATAATCCCACGTGGCAAATACCCATTCTTGCAGTCACATCTTTTTGAACAGATGCTCTGTGAATCTCTGCTCTGCTGAAAACTCAGCATAGGACAGTGCTGTGCATAGCAACRCTGAGATCTCCTGGCCCTCCAACACCCACCACAGCAAACTGCTGTCTAGTTTGTTACACAACACCTGAAGATTAGACAGAGCCTGGTGAAAGCTGCCCTGRTCCACCTTATCACACCTAAATACCAAAAAGAGAAGAACCACTTCTCTTTTAGAAAATTTAGAAATTCCTACTAAATTTTTGAGTCTAACTCCATTCTTTATTCAACAATAGAAATACTCACTTTATTGCAGATACTTAAAAAGGCAACTAACTTAAAAAAAAAAATCCAGAAAACTGGATAAACTCATAACTGTTTATGAGTTACATAAACAGAACAGTTCCTTTTATGCTGAAAAGATCACTAAAACACTTAGCAACTCTTTTCACAACGTGATAAGGAAGAACTTTACTTCAAGTATCTGTTCTGGCCTGGCAGACTTAAGCAAGCACTGAACWCAATTCCACAGCAAAGGTCAGAAAAATCTCTCAGCAAATTGCAGCAAAACTTTCCTGGGCTCTCAACAGCCCAGGAAATAAGGAAGATGCTAATGCTCACAACTGCTAAAAGAGATCCAAAACCAAAAAAACAAATAAGTATTGGGCAAGCATATATTTTCTACAAATCAGTCTGCCAACACCAATATTATATTTACACAGCTGGGATGTGTTCATGTTTTGTAAGAAGTAGCATGAGATTTGGAGACAATCCAGAACCTCTCAACTTCTACAGCTTCCTGTAGAAAAAATTTTTGCCATTCCACTGAGTCTGAGAAACACGAAGAACTTAAAATGTAATCTTTTAAAAAATTAACTTCTCTAGGAGATCACTGGTCCATTGATGATACCCAGTCTAAAGTGGAGCTCACTGTTAATGTTTTACAAGAAACACAGAYACATTTCTTACATTTACAGTATCATCATCCACATTTTAGTATTCCACTCTTTTAACAACAGCAACAAAAAAGGAAAAAAAGTAAAAGGTGTAGGTTCACCATTTCTGGGGTCCCTAAAACAGCACAATGATCACCTTTATTTTTTTTTAGATTTATTTTATGAGCTTTTTCGATGCTTTTTTGTTTTCACTTCCAATGAACAACAGATTCCCTTAAGACATTACAATCTACTGACTAAAAACAAATATTAATATTTTTTAAGAGACCAAGTACTACTTTTGATTTTTTAAATTAAAGTAAATGCTGTCCTCTTAAATGCAGGCTAATTTAAGGTAGAGGTAAATATTATCTCTGCCTTTAGAATAGCAACTACAACATCAATACAACTAAACAGAYTGAACTTTAATAAACAGCTGCAGTTGTACAACGATGAAGTTAATGTATTATCATGTGAAAAAATAACCCTAACCACCAGAGACAGTACTTCTAGATACTGCTAAAGAGACATTAACTTAATGATGCAAATGCAAATTAAGTAGATTGCAGAARTTACATCTAACACTGCCTAAACAACATAGAAAAACCCAAAACATAAAAGCAAGTAAGCGTGAAAGGATTACCCTTGCCAACACTACCACTGAAAACTTTCAAAGACCAGGCAAATTTTAACACACATTCATATACAATGTTTTTAGAATCTGTTATAATTTTTCAAAGGCAGAATATATTCTGTAAATTATAACRTAACATTGTTTGTCAGGGAAGATTCTAAGAGTGCAAACTATAAAAGGCAGTTTAAAGTTGTTTTGATAACATTAAGTATCCTGTTAAAAATACACGTATACAATCTCATTAGAAAACTGTATTTGGCTGTACATGGTTAAATCTGGACAATTAAAGCATTTTAATTGACATCTTGGCATCTTGACAAATAATTAACAGATTTTGATCAATATATYACATACCACTGCTGCCTTTCTGTGACCTCATTTGAATGACCACTAGAGGATGCTATGAGAACAATCAGATACAGGAAAAAAACACATGGAATGTATCYTGCCTATAAAATAATTTCATTTACAAAAAAATGTCAGCTTATGAACCATTCCAAAATTATTAATGTTGAAAACTAAGAGTTATTTGCAAGCTTTTCAGAAATTTGGCAAAAATATCTACCTCAGATATTCATAAACACACATGCTTTCAAAAATTGAAGAGTAAGTTTACATCCTTCTTCTGTGTGATAGGACATTTTATTACAGAAAGGATTACACTATTTAAAATACTCTTATATCTAAAAGTAGGAAACAAGAAGTAGCTTTCTAATCAAGTAGATAATTTGATTAATATTGCTTTGGGTATTATAATTCGTAAGAAAATAACCTTAGATTTAGATGCAACTTAGAATTACAGTTTTATAKATGGTACATTATTCAGTTGTGTACTTACTTCATCCATTTTCATGCAAGTGCCAAAATCTGCCAGCTTCAGATGCCCATATTTATCTAAAAGCATATTGTCAGGCTTCACATCTCTGTGTATCAAGCCCATGGAGTGAATTGCATCAAGAGCAAGAACAACTTCAGCTGTGTAGAACTTGGCCCATTTCTCAGGCACATCGTAGTTGCTCATAAGGTTTACAAGATCTCCACCTGGCATGTATTCCATCACCATGTACAAATATTTGTCATCTTGAAAGGCACAAAATAGCTGCAACATTAAAAAAAAGGAAAGGAAAAAAGAGCAATTACTTTTTAGAGACAGGTAGTGAAAAGAATAAAGCCCCTTATCTTGAAGTTCCATTAAAACTGAGAATATGTTTYCAAGATTACTGTTAATATTTATAAAATCCACATTTTCTGTTAATTATGACAGTACCTTGAAACTTACTGAGCTTCAAAACCCCTCATCATTTTAAAGAAAATTAAAAATATTTCTTGATTATTTCAATTCTATAGCTTTTTATCTATCTATCTATCTATCTATCTATCTATCTATCTATCTATCTATCTATCTATCTATCTATCTATCTATCTACCTATCCATCCATCCATCCATCCATCCATCCATCCATCCATCCATCCATCCATCCATCCATCCATCCATCCATCCATCCATCCATCCATCCATCTCCATGCTTCTTGGTATTAAAAAGTATCACTGAGACAAAATGCAGAGTGTAAATCTGCATCAGGTTCTGATTTGAAAATAGCTCAAAAGTAAGCAGCATCTTAGACAGTTTCTAAATTTTCTGTATTGTAAATTCCTTATCTTTGTACATGTTTGCAAAGTCACTACTRAATTTGTCCTAAATCAACATATATTGAAATAAGGAAGAAAAACAAAATGTTTCAGAAGACAACTGTAACACAATACAAAGAAATTATCTTTAGCAACAAAATACTGGTATGGYATAGGTTGCAGTCAGGACATTTCCTAATGGCATGATAGCGAAGGTAAGTTCAGTCTCTTTAAAATTTATTTCAGACCTAGAGTGCTGAAGTTTTAGAGATCCCACCCAGAGATCACCAGGTCTGAAAAAAGCCCATCCCAACAAAAAGTATTACTATCAAATGTTCAATGACTGGTGTGCAAAAATCTCTGAAAGTCTCCCTTATTTCTCAGGGAATACTGGCTTACCTTAAAAACTAAAATCATTCACATCTGTAAATTACACACRTAAAATTTAAAGGCAGTTGAAAAAYAGGATGTGCGGAAAGGACAAAATCAGAATCAGGGAGACTGTGGAGGATGAGGAACCATGAAATTCAGGTATGTTATTATGGAGATTTGACCTTCAGATTAAAATTAATTTTATGACTAGTGACAGAAGACCTAGATTAGAAATATGTATTTTAATACATATATACTACACTGTATTTGTTTTCACAAATAGACCAATATGCAGTTTATAATATGATAATGCATTGGGTCATTAAAATCTATATGAAGATTCAAAATAATCTCTATGTTCTCACATGTAGAAATATTAATATAACATAATAATAAATAACAGCACTATATCTTTATACAGGCCTACTGCTATTTCCCTCAATGGATTTAATTWAAAAAAAATTAAAACTACCTATGGCTCTTATTTATTTTTCTTTTTTCACATTAAAACTAGACACAGAGAAGCAATGTGATCTATCCCTGCTTCTAGACCAGAACAGGACCTACATTTTCTTCAAACCAGCTCAATATCCTAACCCACTGGACCACATCACCAAATATATTACACTAACACACTTAATCATAGGAGGCACAATTACAACTACACTTTAGTTCATTTGCTGTTTACAATGCAGACACACACATTYATATCCTACTTGTGACAGTTTCCTTTGAAAATTCACATCATGCATTTCTCATTACTTCCAACTACACATGAAAAATAGTTCCTGACAATTACTGTTACTAGAACAAAGAACTAAATTAAAAAATCATCTATTTGTTTAAGTATTTTCTGTGAATATAAGCAAGACCACAGAACATGCTTAAAGAGCAAAACATCTAAATAAAAAACTTTGTGTGCTTGAGGTAAAGTGTAATGAAAAATAAAAGGAAAGCTTAAAGCCAGTCTTATTAAATATACAGAAGCATGGCAATATATATGAGAGCATTTATATTAATTATTTAACCAAATTAAGTACTGACAATTTGTCCAAGCACACGCTTTCATTGCTCCTTTTGTTAACTGGTGCAATTTACCAGTAACAACAAATGGCAATAATCAGTACTGATTGTTCCCRAAGGCATAATTCACATTACAGCATCTTGATGACACACGTCATGAGACAGCTGCAGTGACGGTGTTCARGACCAGCTGAAGCCATCAACTCTCCATTACTGGGATATTCCGAGTGCTGATGCTGTAACTGACCTAAGAGAAGATGGTTTCAAGGAAACCACTACTACAGCCTCGTGTCTTGCAGGAGACCAGGACTGCACCCTCATCCATATATCAAACTGCTGCTGAAAAGACAGTGACTATTAAAAGCATTCTTAATACCAGCTGCCTGTGATCAACTGACTATATCATGATGGAACACTGGAAATATCAATTGCATTTGTTTCTACATTTCTATACAGAATTTTTCATAGTTGGAAATGCAACTTCCCCATTATTTCAAATAATTCTGTATTTCAATAATCTGTTCAATTCTGTTTTATGATATATTTTGTAGAGACTAAAATGTAAATTAGTTTACTTTCTAACACAGCCAAATGCATAAAACTTAGTGAAATTGATGTAAAAAGATAAAAATCTGAACATAAAGCTTGATTTCAGTTTCAATGTAAATTCAAAACCAGCTCAAGACTGGGAAGTATTTATGGCATCAGCATCATTACTATTTACTATTACACATCTTCCTTACCTGAACCACCCACGGGCTGTTGGCRAAGGCCATGATATCTCTTTCCTCCCAGAAAAAGGCTGAATCTGATCTCTTGATCATTTCAAATTTACTAAGTAGCTTCATTGCATAAACCTTCTGTGTCATTTTATGGCGAACCTGTTAAGAAAGAGAAGAAGCAACCTTTTGAAAACGCCTTGTTAAAAACCTGAGTACCAGCACAGTATATTTCTGCTATGTGCAATCTGCTTTCTGAGATGTGATGTCTCCAGGCTTCATATGCCCAATTTTCTACACACAATTTTCAGTAAAGATTTGAGAAATTCCAAACCTAAAAAGAAAAGCTTAACAGCTGCACAAAAAAATCCACTGTAGCAAGAAGAAAAGTCTAACTCTGCTTTTATCTTCTTACTCTGAACACTGCCTAGCCATTGAACTCATTCACTGTAGAAACTGGGCAAGGAGTCTGCCTCAGCCTCTGTTTTTATTTTGCACCAATAAATTATTGCTCTTATTTCTTTTCCTAATTAGTTCTTAAATTCACTTTAAATGGTGCAAAATTAGTACAATAAATCTTGCTGGAAAMTGGAATTAAAGCCTTTATTAAGAAATATGAAAATATTTTTGAAAACTTCTTCTGAATACAGACATGAAACCAAATCCTTAAATTAGACACTGCACTCATTACTCAGCTAATTAAACAACATGAGACATCCTAGCTTATGAAACAACTATTAAAGTAACAGGTTTTTAACATTCTTGAGTATTTTTTAAAGAAATCAAGGTGAGGAGTATTCGGCTGTAAAAAGTCTGAGTCATTAGGATCGTAAGTTTTTTCATATTTTCTTCCTGTTAAAAAATTCCTGTTAAAAAAGTTTGTGAATTGATTTGTGAAAAGCGTGAAATGCACCAGAAAGTGAACCTATAATTTTCTGGTGCATTCAAAAACCCTCATATCTAGTAAATAAAGCCGATCTTCTAACTTCTTAGTTTTGCAAAATGTCCATGTTTAATTCTGTTACTTTCAGTAATGTTTAATAGGCTTTTCTCAACAGCTGTTTCAGGTCCATGACATCTGCAGTGCAAAGCTTCAGAGAGGCACCTATTTGGTCTACAGATCTGGGAGCATCAGTCTCCTCCTGCTCCTGAAGAGCTGTAAAAATTAATATTGCTGAAGGAATAGAAGAAGCATCAGGTGGAAGGGGTAATCTTGSAAAGAGTAAGAACATGAACAGAAACAGGATTATTTAAGAACTTACTGGTTTTGAAATTSGGGCTTCTTGCCTTCAAGATACAGGTACAGAGGTTTTATTATTAGTATCTTGCATTGTTTAGCACTAACAGCCTTCTGAACAGTTAGATCCAAAAACTTCCAACATAATACCAGAACAGAAATATGGTATCTGTGTGCATTAACATACYATTGCATTAACTATCCACATTAACACATAACACACTATACTAACAACTCCATAAGGATATTTCAAGACATTAATTAGCTAGTGAAGGTCCTAAAAAGGTATTTTGAAAATTAACTTCTTCCCATTTACTAACTGTAGATGGGATTATTTAGAAAGACTTGGTGGTACATCACAAACTATACTACAGTAAGCAGAGCTTTTGTAAGCCTGCCCAAAACCAGAAGAAACACAAAGAACAGAAACCTCAAAAAGGTATTTTTTAATTGAAGATGCATTTTCTGTGAAAATTGAAGCTCTGACGTGTATTTAGTAGTTTACAACTGTTAAAGTTGCTGTGTACTCTTGCCTAGGTGAAGTTAGAGTAGCACCCTTCATTTAAATGAACAACTGTCTCCCATGACTTGGGGAAAAAAATTCTTGGAAGCCAGCACAACTTGAAGGAAGCTCACATACAGGAGAAGCAAAGTAAAGATGGGTGGGGGGCCCAAATCACAGTCTGTTCACCTCTCTAAAGAGTGCCAATAGGTTATTGGCTAAATAATCTTTCCAGAAGATTCCAGGATAGATTCTTTCTCTGTACAAAAATCACAAAACCAAAGCAATAACAAATATACTGACACACCCAGAGACTGAGTGTGTGCTGGCACACCTTGCATGTGAGCAGATCCACCGCTGACATTCCTCCTTCTATCACCACCATGGCCCCTGGAGCCAGCCTTTTTAGCTGCTAGTCATTGTGCTCTTTACCCAGAGCTATATTTGTACATTAGATATTGGCTCATACAGATTATTCATGTATTAAACTGTCATGATGTTTCAATTTCTTCCAACTGTTAAAACGAACTGCCAAATTTAAACTGCAGCTCACCAGAGTAACTCTCAAAATAGGTAGGAAAATCCCTTCATGCCATTAGCACTGAGTAACATGGCCTTGTTTAACGCATGAAAATGCATTAAGAACAAAGAATTTTACTCTAATTTGCTTCAACAATCTAATACCTTCAATAAACAAGTACACACAAAAAGCATCCATAATTTCCACAGCATTCACATTAGAAGACAATCTGTAGGCAAACAAAATAACACATCTATTTGAAGTTATCAGATTGAATACACAGTATTGATAATAGTATTGTCTCTTTTATGATTTAAAAAAAAAAATTAAAATCTTAGAATGGAGTTCTGAAACGGGCTCCAAGGCTTGAGGTAATTACMAGTATCCTAAAATACTTAATATAGCCATAAGAAATTACTACAGATAGTGTACCAAAGTTCATATACTGAAAAATTTTCAGGCAATAAAACATGACTGCTTTATCTGCYTCACTACAGAACTGTACATCAGCAGTGGATGGGAAACTAAACCTAACAAACAAAGCACTTACTGAAGAAAAATAAACCAGCATCTGTTTATGCAGGCCATGAAAATCACCGGTTTGCAACACTAAGAAATCAGACAGTAAAGACTGTCACCCAGAGCATCCTGTAGTACCCAACAACACAAAAAGTGTTAACTTTGCTTTAGTCTTCTCTTCCAGTACATGACCAGGTCAATCTGCTTTGTCACTGCAACATCACAGCCCTTCATGGTAAGATCTGGGACAAGGAACTAAGGTTAAGTTTCAATTTCAAATCAAGAGGATTTTTCCACATGTGAAAACAAACAAGAGATACTCAGGATGTGCTTTCATAAATTACTGTTTCTGCATAAACCAGAAGTAACCTATTAAGCACCATAATCCAATTTTTCTGTCTGCCCTAGACACCAGCCACTTTTATTCACAGCACTGTGCAAGAGAAGTGATCTGGCAGCTGGCAATTATTTCCTTAGCTTTCCCCATCACAACAGACCCAGCAAAACCAGAGACCAGAGCTCAAGTGTAGAGTTTAATACTTCTGGATTTATAAGGAAATTGTTTCTCCACCAAAGTCAGATGCTTATACCAGAGTCATCTGATCTCTCTTTACTGGATTATGTTTAAAAATTTTTGGAGGGGGGAGGAAGAGGAAAAAGCGAAGCTTTTTAAAAAAAACCTAGCTGTAAGACACAATAGTAGAGAATGTGTTCACTTTGTTGACAGAATCTAGAAAGCTGATTGCTTCATACCACTTCTTCAGCAATAAACTACTATACTGGAGCAGAAGACTCAGGGAAAACAAAATTAAATGAAGGAGGTCATAGCTGACTATTTCATGCTGCAARCATTACAAGCCAAAAAATGAGCATATGATTATAATAATTAGAAACATCTAATAAATATTTAATAAATATTTGTGCTACAATACCTATGCACAACACATACTGATAAAAAATTCATTAATTTAACTCATGTATTTAATCATGTTTTATTTATGKTTTTTTCTGTATTTAATCCCCACTGAAGCAGATTTCTATTTTGATCACAGAAAGTGTCGCAAAATATTTTCATTACTGCAAATCCATCATCTGCAACAGCGGTGTTAACATTTTGAATGTAGTAGAAATAGATATAGCTTAGCTCAATAGTTTAAACTTGTATCATACCTTGYGAGGCAAATAATCGAGGTTATGTATGTCCACATCACCAGCTAATATTAGTTCAGATCTGCCGTTGTATTTACTAGCCTATTGCTTATCAGCTGTAAGACTGTATAGTGTTATGATTTCTACTTGTATTTTTACATTCCAGAARAAGTATCCTTTTAAATTGACATGAAGTACAGAAGTGCTCCATATGAACACACAGAAGTTCCCTTCAAGTACCAAGGATTCTTGCTTTTTTTGAAGGGCTTACTAAAGATTTTTAAAAAAACTCCGTAACAATAAAACCCAAATCCCATCATTGTATGACCAGGTTACTAAGCATTTTGTCATCCCATTTTAATGGACAGGCAAATTAAAAGAAAGTTTGTCTTCAGAGCCCTCTAAGTGCCCAACTGCTGTATGTAGACTAGGAAAAATCATCTCTTCTTAAAAATTTCAATTGTGCATGACGTGGTGAATTAAGAAAAAYAGTTTCCAGAACAAATCAGGAAGCTCAATTTGAAATGAAATGTTAATAAGAAAATTATTTAGAAAAACCCTTCCATTCTTAAAAAAAGCACATATGAAAACAATGTATTTTCATTTTTGAAGCACATCAACAACATAATTCTCTTGGATGCTTCCAGCAAATATGAGTGTGACATTTAAAAATGGCACACGACTTCTGTTATTGGGATTTTCTCTTTTTCATCTCCCACCTCCTCAACAAAAGGACAAGGAACTCTGGTCCCTACAACCTGATTTTTCACATGCCAGTGCACAATGAGCATTGCTATTCACTGCTACATTTGGGGATATGTRAAGATACAAACGGCTAATAGAAGACTTTAAAATAAACCATTTGATGTGACWGTCATTGAAAAGACAAGGAGTAGACTGCTTTCTTACAAACACCCTGCAGCAGCCCCCTCACAAGAAAGCAAGATTCTGCTGAAGGTTTCATTTTATCTTTAATTTTTTGCCAGCAAGGAYATAAAATCATATAAAGATACATATTAATTCTTTAAAATCTTGTTAAAATATGAGGATTTTTGGAAATACGCCACTCCACATTTCATTTACTCTTCTGGATAAAAACAAAGTGTAAATGACCCTGATAGAAATAGGGAAGAGGGTGCTACATTCTTTTATTACCAGACTTGGATGAAGGTGTCTTTAAAAATTACATAAATGAACAAAATCTTCTGATTAGATGTTGTTATCTGTTGTTATCTGTTATCTAAAGCTGCAAATTACSCGTGAGTCATGCAAATAATATTAGGCTAGTCACAGGGGTTTTCTTGCCAGTTCCAACAAATTTCACCAACAGTAATATGGAAAATAAAAACCATTTTATAAATTAATCATAAATTTATTGCCATTATACAATGTGTACTTCCTATAAACCATTCACATCTTAGATCTTACCACATTCCTCAAAAAAACTCCAACACGTTTGTATTTTCAAAAATGGTTACAAGACAATATGATTTTCCCAGCTTCTTAGTCCAAAATTACCACAGAGCAGTAAAATGTCATCTCCACGTCAAAAAATACAAGCAAAAGGGTAATTTTTGTTACCTTGTGGTAACAAGATAACAAGTTTCAACTGCTCCAAATTAGCTGTTCCCCTTTCCACTGACTTGCTTCACATCTCTCTTCCTTCAAAAAAGCTCACATAGAAAATCACCATGGATCAGCTGGTGCACAGTTATCTGTTAGCTCYTGATAACTTGTCCCTAATGTTTGCATTCTAGATTCTATCTGGCGCTTACATCCAATGCTTATTTCAAAACTGACATSTCAATCCATTTTATACATATTTCACATTTTTGTGCCATTTATCACACAACAGGACTTGGAAGTACTGGAAAAATCAAAATTAAATGAAAATCAGACTATGTGCCACACATCAAGTCACTTTWTGTAGTTTGATTACTTTTTCTTTATAACAGAATTTCTCTGCAATAGAAATGTTAAAAGCAATCCCATTCATACATTAGATGTTATATGGCAAACATATTGAGGAGATGTCATATGTCAAGAAAAGAATCTTTTAAAAATCCTGTAAATCATGTCACTTAAATACAATGCAAGCATCACAATTATAAAAACAAAACAAAAATATTTTCTCACACTGTTCGCTTCTCTTTCGTAGGTTTCTGGCATTATCACACAGTGATACTTGTGGCCAAAAAGATGTAGAATTGCTATGAACTGCCCTTTGGATATATCTCAAAGGATAGCAAAGTGATTCCTGAGTTCTTCCCTTCCTATCCATCATGTTTTAAACTCAGATTATTGTTTACTATGCACAGAAATGATCTAATGATACAATGAAAATAACACTTATTCTTTATAAGAATGAATTTTTAAGTCTAAAACATGAAGATTGAGGAAGGTTTTGACTGAAACTGTATATCTGTCTAAACATTAAATCATTACATTCTTACCAGCTGCACTTCTCCAAAAGCACCTCTTCCAATCACCTTAACAACATCATAGTCTTCAGCTTTCATTTGTAAAGCTCGGATTTTTTCCACAATCTTCTCATCTAAAACAAATCAAACAGAAGTTGTGATAATGCATGCTTTTAACAGAACACAAGAATTTTAGCTATTCATTTAGAGTAAAAATAAACTATTTTTATTAAAATGCTTAAAGCTTTCTTGGTAATTCTTGAAATCTGCAGTCACTATTAATATCCCCTTTCATTACTCTTTGGAAACCATTAACCCTTTACCTTTAGCCATAACAATTGAAATGTCTTTTGCATTTTGCTCACTCTCATTTCACACCTCTAATAATCACTCACGAGCTTATGGTAATGAAAAGAACTGGAGATTCCATCGTCTGATGGAATTTTCAGACGATCACTCATTGCCACCCGCTGTGCTCCCAGGATCCACTGACACTCCACTGATAATGCTGAGGTGCAGTACCTGGCACACAAAAGGCACTGCAGGTACAACCAGGTCCTACAAACTCAGAGGGGTCACCAGCACTCAAATGGTGAGGAATGTAACTTGGTCACCGTCACGTGCAACTGCACATCATGCACAGATCTGACTGCAGATCCACTCATCYATTCCATACAAAACATCGATTCTGCTGGCCATCTCAAAGTGCTTTTCTGGTGTTAACCASATGTGTAGTTCTTCACTTCTTAAAATTATGTCTACAATGCTCAAACATTATTAATTAAGAAGACAAGCTCTGCCTGTCAGTATGTGTCTTATTGGCAGTTGTGAGAACCTGTAAAAGGGAAAACAATGGAATTCTAATCTCTGACAAGTTCTATGAACAAAGTCCTATAATTTTGTAAATGAAACAAGCTATAAATGCATTCCCAGCTAAATACATTTTTTAAATCTATTCTTATTAYGAGGACAAAAGATAATGGAATCAAAGAATGGAATCCATAATACTGGAGGTAATCTCAAGCATGACAARCCCCTACACATGCCTAGAGAAGGAACAAAAAAAAGCAAAACAGGTGGCTGGAGCAAGAACCCTACCAGGGAAGAGCATRAAATTGTATGAAAAGCTGTGGATGCTTATACTCAGAGAGGGGTATAGGTGTATATTGTGAGATCCCTGTTTAGGGTCAAAGACCATGGAATTTTGTCCCTAGAAAGGCATTAAAGAGRATCTCAKATCGGAATACAGGRAAAAAAGGATCTGAGATRCAGTTAATCCAGTATGACATTAAAGATGACATGGTCTAAGGGAGTTAATGATAACAAACATCTAGTAGATAGCTTAACCATTCCTACACATTTATGAAAAGCAGCTTAGCAGGCTAAAAACAATCCAGGATACGCCTGACCATCAAGAACAAGCAATAAGCTGAATCGGGGAGGCACTCTGATCTATTACTCACAAACAAGAACAAACTGGCTCAGGAAGACAAAGTCTGTGGCAGACTTGGCAGAAACAACTGTGAGATGAGGAATTTAAGACTCGAACAGAACTGAAGAAGAAAAATAGCATACCTTGGACTTCAGGAGAACAGACTATGGCTTGTTTGGTAAAATCAATGGCAGGATCCTGCGAAAAGCTGCTGTGCAGGGCAGAGGAGCAGGTTGCTCTTCAAAGATGGCATGTTCACAGCACAAGAACAGTCTGTTCTAGTTAGCTAGAAATCGAGCAGGAATGGCAGGGAGCCAGTCTGGCTAAATGGGCAACCTCTGCCTCAACTCAACACAAAAGGTAAAGGTTTGGAACATGGAAGCCAAGATGGATTATCCAGCAGGAACCTCCCAAACAAGCAAAGATGGAATTGGGAAAGSCAAGCTCAGCTGGAACTGAAACTAGCCAGGATTATGAAGGGAAACAAGATTCCATAAATACATTGGCAATAGAAGAAAGAACAAGGCAAACACGGTCCAACTGTTTTCAGTGAGATAGGTGATCTAGTGCCAGGGACATGGAGAACATCAAGRCAGCTGATGCCTTTTTTGCCTCACTTCACTCTCAAGCTCTGCTCWGAGGCCTCCCAGCTCCTCAAAGCCAACAGCAAAATGTGGGGCAGTGCAGTATCACAGTAGAGGAAGTTMAAAGTAAAAGACCAATAGAGCAAACTTGGCATCCACCAGGTCATGAGACAACAAGGATGCATCCAAGCATGCTGAAGAAAYGAGTCAAGACCATTACCAGACTGTTCTCTATCACTTTTGAGAGATCATGGCAACTTGGGAAGGTGATGACTGGTCAAGGGCAAATGTCATGTCCATGTTCTAAAGGGGCAAWAAGGGGGCTACTGGCTGAAACAGCAGCCTGACCACACTGCCCAAAAGGATCATGGAGCAAATCCTTCTGGAGTCAATTTCCAAGCATATGATGCACATGCAAAGACACGAACAGCCAAAATGTTGTCTAAAAACAACAAACTGTGTTTGACTAACCTGTTTTCCTTCCATGATGAGGTGTCTGTCTTGGTGGACAAAGGGAAAGCAGTACAGTTCCTTGACTGCAGCATGACTTCCAACATAACATCTCAAAGTACCTTTGCAGCCAAACCAGGCTAACATGGATTGCACAGAGGAACTACCAGCTGAGCAGAAAAGTTGYTGGAGTCACAACCAGTGGTTTTAAATTCAAAGCTGGAGGGAAGGGCAGCTTCTACAAGTGACCCAGACAGGGTGAGTAATGAGCTGACAGGAAACTCAGTGTTCAACAACAGCAAGTCCAGAGTCCTGCAGCTGGGATGAAACAGCACCACTTAACAGAATAGGATGCACTCACCAGGTAGAAGGCACCATGAGAAAGAGGACCTGACAGCCCTGGTGRAGGGGTCAAGCCATGCAGAGAGGAATGAGGAGCCAGCTTTTGCACTGACTATGCAAGTATGCATTGGTAAATGCGCAGCCAGTGGGCGGAGGGAAGTAGATTTCCTCCACTATTTGTCATCTGTGAAACCTTATGTGTAATGTTATGACTAACTTTGAGGTCCTCAGTACCAAAAAATACCAAAACATTCCCAAGCTTGATAGAAGGCCAGCATGCTTCACAGGATGCTCAAGAGAAGCAGAGAGAACTAAAACTGTTTAGRTTAAGGATGGATAAATGGTTGGCCTCAACAGCAGTTGAAATGAGGCTTTACTTCCAAGGCGCACAAAGTGAAAGGACAGGAGTCAACAGACAAGATGAAACACTGGAAATCCAATTTTGTAGGAAAAGAATAGTAAGAATTGGGGAATGGTGCAGACTATCAAGTGAAGTTGCAAAACCTCCATCTTTGGAAATTCTCAAAATTCAACGGCACAAGGACCTGAACAACCTAATATAACATCAACCCTGATTTGACTCTGAGCAGAGAGTTGGACCAGTTGATCGCCAGAGATCCTTCTTAACCTGTGGAACACAAAAATGCAACTGTACGTTTCTTCTTCTGAGGAAAAGACTGGATGTGACAGGGAAGGGGAGAGATTAGTGTTAATAATGAGGGAATAGTCTGCTAGTAAAGTTACAAGGACAGACATAATTAAAACCTCCAAAAGCAAGCAAATTCGCTACATTCAGTGTACTGATACGACCAAAGTAATTCAGTCTGTCAAAAGGAAAAGGAGTTGAGAGAATTGTGAGGTTGTTTCTATCCTGAAATCATGAAAGTCTAGACCAAGAGCATAGGAATGCAACAGTACTTCAACCACACCAAGTTTATTATTTTTGTTAATAATGTGAATTACTTTTGCAGACTGTGAAAGGAATACTATGTTTGAAAGCTAACTGCAGATCAGAAGCTGGCACAAGACAAGGAGAATAAATACAAATTCACTGGAAGTGGCAGTAGAGAAAGAGTATCATCAACCTTCAAGTCACAGAGAATTTGCAATTACGTGTATGAATACAATGTTACATCTCATCAGACAGGGGGATGACACRAGTTTATTTTACATGTTTCTGAGATGTTTCAATGTTTTCAGATATGTCAAATGAGAGAGTAGGAATTCAAACACATTGAAAGAGCAGTGTCTAGTTTTACACAGCTGAATTTCCGAGCCATAACTCATAGGAACACTTCTGTAGAAAGTAGCAACTATAAACAAAATTGATACAGCACCAGTGAAACTCTTCAAGCGTTATAATACTGCAAATGAGCAATGAAAAACCCAACAACGTATGAAACAACCAATTACATAGTTATGAGTTTTATAATCCCTGTGAAATGCTGAGAATAGAGAAATCCTACTTGCTTCGCTAAAAGAACAGAACAGATCAGACTAGAGCCCTTTCAATTAAAAGWGACCCACAGAGACCATCGCTCCAACTACCTGACCACAAGGACTGACCAGCAGTTAAGTGCTGTGAAGGGCACTGTCCAAATGCCTCTYAAACACTGACAGGCTCGGGGCACTCATTGGCTCTTGAGGAATCCTGTTCCAGTGCTTGACCACTATCACACTAAAGATATGCTTCATGATGTCTAGASTGAACCTCCTGTGGTGCAGCTTTGAACCATTCCCATATGTCCTGCCACTGCTTCCCAGGGAGAAGAGCTCAGCACCTCCCTCTTCATTTTCCCTCTCTTTAGAGAGCAATGAAGTCACCTCTCCTACCTCCTTTAACTAAAAGTTAATAATCTCAGTAATACCACATAAGGATGCAAGTGTTGTGAAGGTATCAGTTGCACAGATGGATTGTCTATTTCAGAATAAAAATTATGGAACAAATAATCAATGCATGGAACTGATCTGAAACAAAAAAACTGGAGTGCAAGAAGGTAAGTTTAGATTAACCCTGAAGCCATGTCATAACTGCAACATACTGGATCAGATTTAGTTCATGAATCACACAACGTCATCTAATTCAGAGTGCAGGAGAGCTTTCCAACAGTAGCCTTCWAGTAGTAGCCTAAATTTTCAGATTTCACACAGACGAGCTTGCAAATTTTGGCATCTGTATGCACGTCTCATGAATTTGCAGCAGTACAGAGCTCAGCAGAAGAAAAATACTATGTTTAAAGGAAAGCATTAGATGAATTCCAGGATACAATGGAATCTTACAGAAATATTGTGACATTTGGGTGAAAGTCCTAAAACGTGAGAACAC